CAACATTTGCCATTGCAGGAGGGGAAAGCATAGCAAACTTTGACGGCGGAACTGGAAGCTATGATTTCACCACTCATGCAATTCTCCTTTTTGAATATAAGGAATAACAGTAATAACAAAATAATAATTGTACAAAAATAATTATTAATGGCAGCAATAAGATGACGTACCGAAACACGTAACATCGAAAGGGTGAAATATAATTTCCGTTAAGGAAAGAAGCAGCATAAATGCGATGGTGGAACTGAAGGGCTCGAACTGTGAAGAAGCCCTCGGTGCCATTAGGAATTGGACTCATGATGAATGCAATGAAAAGGACCTCCTGCAGTACTCAGAGAGGATAAATCACGGGGGGAGGGAAATGGAAGGACACGGGGCAGCTGAGATCGGCTTTTGTTCCATCTCAGGTGACTGATGCTCTCCCCTTTCCCTTTCCCTTTTCCATTTCCATTCCCTTCTCTCTTCTTTCTTTCTTTCTATCCTCACAAAACCTCACTTCGCTCTCACATCAGCCTTAAAGACGGTGGCCTTGGTCTTCCTTTTCATGGTTCGCCGAATCGCTGAAAAGTACTGGGATCGGCCGCAGCGGACGGCACGAGGAATGGGATAGGAAAGGGATTAAGATTTAGGGATTAGGGCTAAGGGGTGGGCTGGTGAATGTCACAGCTGGGAATGAAATTATCACCAAGAGGGGAGAAAGCCGGATAAACAATCCGATGAGAGACGGGGGAGGCACATAGAGACGCCATTGTGCGCAATCACTTCTCTCTCTCCACAACCTTCAAAGGAATTCCTAAGGATGGAGAAAACCAAACGTTTTGTTGACTCTCTTCCCCGGTGGAATGCCGATGTTGTCTGACTTTCCACAGCCGAAAGACTGTAACAGGGGTGGGGAGTGAATTAGACTGAATTATAGTCTTTCACATACCATATGGTGCATTTCACATTCGTTTGACAACGATACTGAGGGTAACATGAACATACAAATTTGGATCGAGATCTATTTAATCGAGAGATCAAAATAGCTAGGTTCAATTTCCTCTTCATATCTGACTGAGGAATAATATGAACTGAATAGAATCGTAAGAGTATAGCAAATGCTGTCATTTCATCCGAGTCCATCAACTTGTCCTCAAGTTTAGTGGAGGGGTTTTCCTCACTGGTTCTGGTAATGAGAGAGAAATTTCTTCCTAACTCAGATAGGAGCCAATGCACGTGAGATTTGGGTGTTTATTGCATGTATTAGTATCAGTAAAACTTTTACTGCGATTGAAACATTAATCGGACGAAGAATCTATTTGATTGCCATTTTAAAAAAATGAAAGCGATGAAAGTTGATCAGAAAAATGCAGGAAATACGAATAAGCAAAATGTTTAAATTCACGGGTGAGTCTTTTTGAAGAACTGAATACTTTGAATTTACTTTATAATGAGCATTAAGGTGCAAATAAGGGTCATTTGTGGCTACGTTAATAATATTGTCCTCAAAAGTTGTGGGGTATTTTGCGTATTTTGCGCATACAAGTCCCCAAGAAGATTCCAAGTATTAACGCGGATCTTTCACAAATACCGCAGAAAGAACGACATCCAGATCGATTAACAACTGAGTTTTAAAGTAAAATTTCTGATACTTCTGTTCTCCCATGCTCTCCATTCAAGCCAAGTCCTGCAAAGCTTTAGGATGCTGAAACGTCAGGCACTTCATCTAAACTTTCACGTGATATTTCATTTTATCGCTTAAATTTTCGGACATTCTGGATCATCTACAGGAAATAAAAATATATGATCACAAGGGCTCATAGCAAAAATGTATTTCCCAAAACGTGTAAAAAACCGTACAGATGTATAAACATCCTGGGACTATTCCATTGATCATTCTTTTTTCATTGAAAATTGCAACATATACGGTTATCACCTGAACCTCGCAATTAAAACTATGATTTCACATTAACTACTTGGACTTGAGAAAATGAAAAGGAGAAGTCGCACTGAAGGAAGTTGCAGTGCGTACATGACATGGATGAACAGAAGGAATGCCATCAGCGCTTGGACGGTCCGAATCACCACTGGTCAATCGGATATCCGTGTCAGGGTGAAAAACATGGGGAAAGGGGGATCATTTCCGGTTCATTTCCTCGGGAAGAACGAGGAGGAAATCAAATACGGAATCCATGGAGTGTAATGGAGATGGAGATAGGATTAAAGCCACGCATGGACAATGTCTACAGGGGAGTTGTTTTCCCTCGTCATGCATAGGACAAATGGGAAGTCAAACACCAGGGCAGCTGTCCTCTTTCCCTCCATTTACATCTTCCCTCCTTTTAGGATCTGGGGAATCCATCTCCATCATCCCACAAATGAATTCGAGGAACAGAAAGAGAGGGGAGGGGGGGGGTTATGTGGGGAAACTATACGGTGCCGTGCCGTTTCCCATTGTGATTTTTATCTGTGGAATAGGGCATCGAGCCAAGCCAACTGGAAAGAAAATGCGGAAATTTTCTCTCACTCCTCGCGAAGAAATCCTGGCAAAAACGGGGGAACATCGAGATGATCACGTCTGCCTCCTACTTTTTAGCCGTCGTATTGGAAGGAAATTTGAGATGATTCGCTGCGTCACTCTTCAAAGCCTCTATGAGGAAGTGAAACTTCAACTGCGCATAACACATGGCCCATATCGGATGCCTTTATCTCCGCATATTTTATAGGGTACGGTGATGATTTATGCAGGAGAAGTGCAAGGGGGAAAGTGCGGTGATGGGATAAAGGAAGGAATCTGGTAATGCCATTATGGACGACGACAGACAGATTCCCTTCCACGAATAAACAAACACCTTCATCCACTCTCCCTCTCTCGCTTTTTTTTTTCTGGTCTTTTCTGCACTTCCCGCACTGTTTTTTCTTCTTTTTTTTGTGATGGTTCTTCAGGTGCGACCAGCATGGAGCTTCTCTCTCTTTTTCACACTTTCCCACGACCTTTTTGTTTTCTCTGTCTCCTTCCGCCAGTCAGGGAACCATGATTAATAACACCGTTAATGAAGGTCAGGACGCGAAAGCAGCTGTTTAGAGTCTTTCACGCAACCGAAGAACTTCCCTCGTTACAACCGCATGCGCACTACGGACCAATTGAGATTTCACTCCATGCATATTCATGGTTTTAAAGATTTCGAAACGGACAATGAACTCTGAACTAAACGGGGTTTGTGTGTCCACTCGATTGACCCATGCCTTCAGTTTACCCAGGACAAAATGGAGAAAACGTGACTTCCTCTTCTAACTATGCACTAGGTGACTTCAAGCGTCCTGTATTTACATTTGCGTTCATTTTCTTTTTTTTTTCATTGAATGAAGCACACAAGTGGTCAGTGAGAGCATGTCATGCTGGTTGATCTCTCGCTGTATAGGCTTGGAAACCATCATAAGCGATTCGCGAGATATGCATATAGCCTATAGCGTAGGTTAGCCTAAACGTTAGCCTCGTTTGCTGGGGCGTGGATGATCGATCCCCTATAAATCCGCGTCGACGGACGCCGGATAGGTCTAATTATCGTCTCGTGGAGGTCTAACGGCTCATCGATCGACGCGAAACATGTGTTGGAATTTTCATACCTGTGACATGGGATGAATAGACTTTTCTCGGGGGAAGTGGAAAACTGCAGCGTCACATAATGAGGAGATTCCCGACTGCCTCACATCCATGAAGTCTGTGCAGTGCAACAGGAGGAGGGAAATGTTGTGAATACTAATTGCGTGTAATGACATGTTAAGGGCGGATGGGGGAGAGAGAGAGAGAGAGAGAAAAAAAACTGCTGTTTCACTCTCTCTCAGGCTGAGAAGAGAAGCCACTATCAGGTGATTTGTATGAGGACGAGACGAGAGGACACGAGCACTCATGGATTATGCATTCCCCCGGCTACTGGGCTCTTCTTTCTTTACGGACTGCGACGGACTTCCCTCATTCACGCCTTCCCTATTTCGCAATAATCGATAATTCTGCAGATCGGGTCGTCAACATCTATGGGCACGATCAAGGGATCGTGCATATCGATATTGGAAGGGAAATTTGAAGGCTTCGGTGCTTTCTTTCATCCTCCTCTATCCATCCTGGCTGCATCATTCGGGTGTCTTTTAAAAATGAGTTATTCATTCCTCTGACGGTCATCTGGGATTTTTTTTTTTTAGCTCTGCACGTTGTACGGTCCCATCGATACGTGGCATACAAAAAAATCAGGCGCTTAGGCTTTTAAGTTTTAATTTAGAATGCCGAGTGTTCCATTAATTTCCTCCCGAGTTTTAAACGTTGTCTTGGCCGTTTCCTCATGAAGCTCATAAGGCATGCACATGCACGACTTTCATTTGACGGTCATTGAACTACGTATTTCGTGTCATTGAAGACACGTGGTCATATTTCGCACAGACCCCTTATATAGAGAAAAAATTTCAAAGTTCACAGGCTGCCCATGATCATGTGCCCGAACACAGGGGGGAGGTTTTTTTTCCTTTACTTCTTTGTCTTCCTTTCACTGCTTCCAGACTATTTCTGGATATCCGCAGTCTTTTCCCGCCACTGTTTATTATACCTTCCTCCAGCTTTCCTCACCTCATCCTTGTCATCAACCTGTGATTATGCCCCTTCGAATAAAGCAGGTGTTTCCAGATGAATATGCAGCGTAGACGAGTCTTCTGGTGCGTGCTGGCCCGAGAGGGTTACCATTTTTCAGTTCGTTCGACTCAACGGTAGAAGTATCGGGACAAACAAAAAGCTGATAATAAAATTGTCCACCGATGAGAGTTGACATCAATGATTCCAGCAGGTTGAAGGGTCGCAGGAATAGAAAATTTCACATTTTCTTTGGAAAGCATGAAAGTGCAGTGCTGAATATATGAGAAACCTGTAATAAATATATATATATAATCATGTGAAATAAGGAGCGCAGGGGAGGAGAGAGAGGAAGGCGAAGGGGGGGAACGGAACGCATCCTGTGGTTGGGGCTCAGTCGAGTGGAGGCGTTCGTCGTGGGAGGCCATGCGGGTTCTCTTCCTATCCCGCCTTCTTTCTAGCTTCCCTCTCTCTCCTGTGTATCGCAAATGGTACTCCGTACCTACATGAATTGAATCGTCGAGAAGAGGAAGAAACAAGAATCCGTGTGCGTACTTCATGCTATATCTCTCGCGCATATGACGATGCCACGCGGCGGAACGACAGTTCGGGTCCTCGGCGTGACCTTCACGTTACAGTGCGTTATCATCATCGTGGATGCGTTCAACCTGGAACCGCGGTTACCCCTTATTAAACAGGGGCCTCCCAGCTCCTATTTCGGCTATTCCGTGGCTCTGCATCAGAGTGTCAAGTATGAGGGTGCTTCGCGGGGATTTGGCGGTGCTGGTGGTAGTGGCGGTGGTTTTGGTGGTGCTGGAGGTGCTGGAGGCGGGGGTTCCTTTGGTGGCAGTGGCGGTGCTGGAGGAGGCTTTTCGCCAGGAACCGAGAGCTGGTGAGTTAGCCTTCTCTTATCTAAGTTTCAGGAAACCTATCAAGTAGAGCCGACTAGATAAGCTTCCTCACTCTTCTCACATAAAATGAGAACGGCGAGGAGGGAAGATAACCTGGCCTGTGTAATCTGCTAACAAGAGCTGCACTATCTAGGTGACCTGAGACATCGATTCAACGGAACATCATTCCCGGCGTCACGAAAGAGGAATTCATGACTACACATTTGAGCGTGGGTTTCCGCTTACACAGACGGCCGGAGCCCACAACACCTGTGCAGTTCGCAGCTGTTCATTCCAAAAGGGTTTGTACCCTGGGCATTGAAGGGATCAGTGGGGGCAGAAAGGAGGAAATCCTTGCCAATGCCAAGCGAAACCTAGCCTTGGCCTGTCGTAGCTCTTGATGGGCGCGGAAAAGGAAATGGAAAATGATTTCTACCATCTGGACATCGATCCTTAGACTGCGCTTCATCAATCGGCCGGTGTAATAGGCTCGTGATAGTATCTGTGTGTGAAAGTCACTGGAATATCCAGTCCAGTCTAGATGGTTATCTCCCCTCTAAGGAGAAATTATGACATCCCTCCTCTTCATCTACGCCTAGTCTTGAGCAATCGCCCCTTGTCCAATTCCCCTCTATTTATATTCTGCTGAAGTTGCCTGACCTGGAGCGAAACTCTACCGCGGTAGCCTCAGGAAAACGTGCAATTGTATGTTTGTTAGACCCCTAACACGCCATGACTATTTAGTGATCGTTAGGTAACGATCATTAAATAGCGGTGTCTGCGTTTAGGCAAAAAAGGAAATGTCATCCACTGGGCGTGGATACGTGTACATCCAATCTCTGTCTCGTATACCAGCATGAGTAATGGCCCATTGTTCGCATATCTTCCCCCTAGCATGTTTTCCTTTTTTTCCACGCTTACTCTTTTTTTTCTCTCACGCCTTGGGATAAATGGGGTGTCTTTGTTCCGCATGTTTTTCTGAACCAGCCGCGGAAAAGCTCTTTTCAGGCTTCTCGCTGAAACGGTCATGTAGTGGAATGAATACATGATCAGACGGTGTACAAGTGAGTGTTTCGATCTTTCCCATAGCCCTCCTATTGCTCGTCACGGGATGTCAGTCAAACAGCACGAAAGGCGTCAATTACGATGAAACAATGGAATGGAGAATCTGTTATACCGATCGGCGCCCCTCCCCAAAGGTCTTCAAGGGCACACCTTTCTTGTGGAACGTGGGGGTCCTTCCTTTGTGAGGGAGAATGAAGTTGTGACGGGTTTTATGGATGTCATACATCAGAGAAATGATGATGTATTGGGAAGCAGAGGGCAGTTTGACATTGGTATCAGGCGACTGTCAGTCTTGGCAACACTGTCGCATGGCCTATCACAGGTTTGCCGGATGTCCTGTGGCATATCGTGAGTCATCGTAACTCCGAGGTCAAGGCCAGCCTCAGTCATCGCATGCTAAAACACTACTGGCAGACTACAACTTGCCTCGCGGGATCACTATGTCCCATCTCTCAAGGAAACAAGTTTTATGGCTGAATGGCGGGAAGAGGAATGCGGCATCCGTGAAAAGGAGGAACGTGGATCGGAATACGGCCTGTCAGAGTCGGTTGTGTTCGCCCATAAATCACATCCTGTGGCTTCTCGGCATTGTTTTAATCGCCCGGGTCCATCTACGACAGAACACGTGTTATGTTGGAGCGGGGGTGAACTCGATTCCTTTTCCCTTCCGTTGAGCCCTGCCCTAGTCTGAGCCTCCATGATCATCCAGGCCAGGGATAATTGGAGGTTTGGAATTCGGATGAGGGAGGTCACGGTGGGTGGTGGCGCATATAACGGCAAAGGCCCCCCATGGCTTTCGCTTCCCTATCCCACATTCATGAACTCTTTGTTCCCTCCAGCTCTAGTTCTTGCTGACTCACATACACCGTGCTTCTTTCCCATGACATTGGATATTTACTGCATCGGGGGAGTATTGAATCACGTTCTGCTCTACGGCTACGTGACTGCTACTCTACGTCCGTCATAAAGGGGCGTATTTTCATTTCGTCTCCTCAAGGCTAAACGTTTTGGCTAGGAAGAAGTATTTTCTGATTTGGAGAGTACATTTACGATCGGACGCAAGGTCCCAGGAAGTGTTCAGACTGGCATCCTTGAGGTAGATGCCCATTTAGCCTCAGGTCCTTGAAAAAAAAAAAGGAGCCAAGACCAGCTAAGGGATTTGAGAGATAGAGAGAGTACATCATAGAGAGCTCTCTTCTCTGAAGAAGACCTTGGCACAGAAAATAATGAAGAAGATTCCATGCTGTATGGATTGCGTCACGCCTGACTCATTCTCACCCTGACGAGTGAGGAGCGGAGTGCCACTCCTTCCTCCTATCTCAGGGACCCTAAGCAGGATCAGGATATGTACTGGCTGGGAAGCATTTTAATTAAAAAACCGGGCTTTTAATAAGGGAAAAGGCGGAACTTCCCTTCGTGCGGCGATTGAGTCAGGTCGCAGACTTCCTCCTTGCCAGAAATTCTCCAACATGATGAATAAGGTCCGGAGAGGAATTTTGGCAGGGGACTCAGTCGCCGCACATGTTTCTATGTTGGGGAGTTATTTCCAGGATATTGTTCCCTCCCCCTTCTCACTCTTCACACTGAGAGTCTATCAAAAAACCCTATGAAGAAGGAAGAATACGAGGGGCTTTGGGCTCTTTTGACGCAGCCTTATTTCCTTGTCAATTTCAATAGAGGGGCTTTTGAATGAGTTCCTGAATGTACGCTCACTCATCTCACTTTGATCTACAACCTCCTGTTCTGTACAAAACTACAAAAGCGTTTCATCATTGAAGTCTCTTTAACGAGCTCGGGCGAACGAGCCATTTATGGCCGGCATGTGACCGTTAATTAGCAGCGTCGATTAATTGGAAGGGAGCGTTGAACCAGGTGGAGCAGAGAATCTTATCATGACATAGTTGCCGTGGTTTTCTGCGCAGAGGAGGAAGTCACGTACCCGCTCATTGGAGGGTCTGTTTCCATTTCAAGGTCGCTTTTAATTTCATGGCTCCGGGCTGACGTGGGAGAACCAGGGCTCTTTTCCCATATATGGCGTTGGTCTCGTAATTGGCCTTCTAAGGACTGCTTTTCCAACTCCTGCGATTCTTCCAATGATATTTTATAAGCTGACGACGGGTTTTCAGTTACGGCTCCATACTTGGCCAAGAAGAGAAACATCCTCTCCAGCAATAAGTATTAATGTAACTAACAATGAAATCAAAGTGATAATAAAGGAAACGATTGTTTAACTACGGAACTTTATTGGCTGCCATATTTTAGTTTTATTTTTTCACAGCAATGCACGAAGAAGGAAAAATTTGCGGGGATTTAAAGTCTGGAATCATTAGGAGTCGATAAATAATCATGTAACTCGTTCTCCAAATCACTTCACTGGAAGAAAATCTGAGAACTGAAAGCTATTCTGTAAGACAGGTAATCTTCCTTGAACTAACGCTAAATCACGCAAAATTAATAGGCGTATTTTTGCTCTCATGCAATTGTGAGTATATGTAAACTTTTCGTAGTAGTTTGTGTGCATTACTGAACACTGGTTCAGTGATAGGTCATGGAGCTGCAAACGGGAGAGACCAGAATCCTTATAACTATACCAGGTTGGTTTGAAGCAAGGAGGAACGACGAGAAAAGGACAGTTGAAGGGGGGGGGGGGCTGTATGGGTAGTTGCCCCCATGGCTCTTTTGTTTCCGAGTGTGGGCCCAGACACCTGAGGCCATTGTTTCTGGTAAAATGGAGAGAGGGAGGGGAGAAAAGTCAAGGAGTTCCCTTCCCTTTTTCTGCCTCCCGGCAATAGATGCATTCGTTTCACTCACTCGCCGCCGCCTCTTCCTCCCCCCCCCCCCTTCAACTGTCCTTTTCTCGTCGTTCCTCCTTGCTTCAAACCAACCTGGTATAGTTATAAGGATTNCCCCCCCCCCCCCCCTTTTTTTTTTTTTTACGGCTATTTTCTCAACATATGTCTATCCGACTCGTTCCCTGGTTACCCGTTTTCTTTCATATTATTTTTTTGAGGATTCTGCTGGAATTCTCCAGTTCTATCTGATCCAAATTAGCCAGATAAGGAGAGAATGCTTGAGGGGGTCCACCGTAGAGAATCGATAGGAGAAGGGAAAGCCTTAAATGGTGGCGTCATTTCATGAAGGGCCTATGATTAATGTAGCCTTAATCGTATATAAAGGGGACATCAATTTATTCCGCCGTGACTCCCCATTAGGCAAGCCATGGCGACATGAGTCGGCAGACTCGAAGCCTCAGTCTTGGTCGCTTTAATGGGCTTCCTTCTCGAATACATTTTTAAAAGAAAAGAGCTATTGAAGGGAGAAGTGCCTCCTCCAGTTGCCGGTGTAGATATGCCTCATTGAAAGAGATTCTTCTGGGAGAATCGGCCAAGCTCAAGGTCACCCCCGAAACAAAAGACTGTCTTGAAGTTTATGTATTTACACAATGAGGATGTCATTTACACTCTCTTGGCTCCAGCTTGGGACAAGACAAACAAAACCCCTCAGGAAAAAGGCCTGTGCGGTGCAGTAAAAGGGAGTATCGCCAGGGGAGCAATTCAATCTACGGCCCATGAAGAAATGCCAGTCTTCCCTAACCTAGATTTTTTTCTGCTTGAACGAGAGAGCGAGAGTCACGAAGCACGTGCGGGGATGGAGATGGTCCTTGTCCCAAATGCCCTCGGTTGCTGAAAGGTTAAATGAAAATGCTTTTCTCAAGACACCCCTGTCTTCTTCAGGCGAGTACCTTGCCCCTGCCCTTGTTCCCAGAATACCTCATATACCAATGAGAGGCAGGGGGGAGGCGGAAGGGAGGGGAAGGAAGAGTAATATTTCTATTTTTAGTTTTTTTTTGTTTATGACACTTCTTGATATCCTCCTAGCTCCTCCATTCTACGCGATCAACCACCCGCGTGCATATTTAAAAATGACGTCATTCCAATTTTTCAATTGTAATTTGATCATAATTAATTTTGTCATCATTTTAAATTTAGTATTCTTACTTATATGCCAAATATCTATGTCTTTGTGCGAAGGGGATTCACTGTAGAGTGTTTGTGCCTTGAGAGTGCCTTGTGTTTAGCTCTTCTGAAATTCCAGAACCCCAAGTTATTCCTTGGTTTCCTGTTTGTTTTGATCGCTACTTGAAACCCAGATTGGATTACTTGGGTGGGACGTAGTTACATCGTAGACTGTCAGTGCGTTACTCCAGGTATGAAGCCTCAGATAAGCCGTGAGAATGAACATGCATTTGATCCCGTATTTGTGACAGGTTTTGAAGTGCTGACTTGTCGGATCTATGAATAAAGTAATTCCTGATGCTCCTTCCCATGAATTTGAATGGCTTTTGGCAATGGTTATAAATGCAGATTTTTGAAGGCGCCTACGTGTTGAGACCAGGCCAAGCAATTAAGGTGGGGGAAGTGGGTCGTGAATCACGCATTTCGTGTGGGTGGGAAGAACCACGTCCAGGTGTGAGATATTGGCGACTGGTGGGGGTCTGTTAACGACATCTGAGAGATAAGTCAGAAGCAGGGATGCAGAAATTCTCTCAGAATCGATCTGATTCAGTTATTCAGACATTGCGTTACATTTTTTAAAGGAAAAACTTCATTTCTGTGGGGGAAAAAAAAGGAGAAAACATATGGCTTTTTGTCAAAAGGCCGTGGAATAAAAGCATACGTTCCATCTAGGTCTGTAAGGATGACAGCGCGGAATCACATTTCATCAGTTATATTGTATCTCTACTTTCCAGAATATGGAAGCATTTAAAGGCTGCGAGAAGCTTTAAATATAGTCCCATAACGTTAAGCGCCATATGTCCATGGGAGGATTTGCAGACTCTTTCCATATTTTCCAGAGTTGTTGCACTCGTGGGAATTTGCGGAAGCCAAGTTTCAACGCAGCAAGGAATGGAGTGCAACCATGCACTGCTTAGTTCACAGGACTTAAGGGTCACTTTCTGCCCGTCACCAATATTGGCTAAGATTCTCGCTTTCCCCCCTCAGCTTTCTATGGATTAAGGTATTTGATCGGAACGAGGGGAATCTACTGTGATTTTTAAAAAACCGCCGGAAGGAGATCATTAATCACGTCCATTTATCTCCCAAAGAATGTCCCCTCTGAACAGTTCGCTATTGGAGTTCGTAGGAGCGAAGCGATCAGGTATTTAAAAAGGGGGGCAGGCAGAAGTCCAGTGTGAGCCAGGTTTGCTAACGAAGAGCCATGTAATGAACTGACAAGGAAAGTTTTGATTGATTGAGAAGCCGCGGAACCCAACAGGGAAATCTCGTTCAGCAGGGTCCTTCTTTTTTTTTTGTCTTTTCCTTTTTTTCCCTCCCTCTATGTGGATTCTGATTGGTGGGTGAGACTCGTTGACCACCTGCAGTTACTCTCTGACTTCTTCCTTGGAAGCCTTCCAGGGAATCTAGATCTCCTCTGACGTCCTCGTTAGGGCTGACGAAGGCCCTATTCTCATTTCCATTCCCGTACCTCGTCATGCGCCTTCATGGCTTATTGCTGGTTGCACACGTGTTATTGATACGAAAATGGAATGTCTTCTTTTTTGTCGTACTTAATGTATAATTGTGTCTGATTTCGAATCCCAATCGGTCCACATTCAGTACAGTGTACATTTTTTCATGAAGTGATTTGATGTAGTATCTCCATGACCCAGTCTTTCTCGACCTCACACTTCATTGCATGATGTACTTGGGGTACATGCTTCTGTTAACCTGAATTTCGGAAAGCTTGAAGAATTCATTCGAAGCGCACATCAGGTTCAAACGGCTGTGAGGAAGGGAGAAGGTAGGAGCTGAAAAGGCGGTTTTTTTTCATTAGTAACGAAGAATTATGAGTTCCAACCGGGTTGATGATGATGATTGCCTTCCGTGGACTTTCACCCGAACTCGATCCCCTCGGCATTCCGTCTGGTATCAGCCGGCCCCCCCCCCCCCCCCTCCTTTGCATCTGTATGCAAGTAAGGGATCCTATAGCCTCTACATTATACTGCATCATCACGACTGCGGTTTGAAAGGGATTTAAAAAAAAACTCAAACGATCTCGGTCTGGCCTAGATTGTGCTCGTAAAACGTGGTCGGCAATGCTCGTAATTGCATTTTCACGCTTCCTTGCTTCCTCTGGTGCACCTCAGCACAGTTTTTCTTCAGCAAGGGGAAAATCGGGTTTTCAAACTGGTCTCTTTCTTCCTCTTCCCCTTCCGTTGAATAAGAGCTCAGAGCATGGGGTTCTAAAGACGGATCAGCCGTTGACGTGACAGCTGACATACGAAACTTAACCCTGAAGGATTCCTGTCCTTTCTTTTTTTCCTTTTGGATTGTGTGTGCAGAGAACAGCGGGTATATATACACATTCTGGGGCGTGTTGGCGTGGGCGTGGAGTCCATTAACCGCGGTCTAATTGGTGGTTCCTCTCCACTTACGCATACACAATCGGTTTTTCTCTCATTTGCATGCGTGTCCCCCCGGGGCACATGTTCCATATCGCCCAGCTCTCTGGTGTAACATGTATAGGGTTACTTGTCCACGAATCTGGTGACATGTGACCTGTATGCATGCTCCGTTCAACGGCTCCATCTCTGGTGTCACATTCTGACTTGAAACACATAGGATATAATGTATAACGTGCGTCCAGGAGGGCTCACTTCCTTTTCCTTCTATAGTTACAGCCCAGATAAGGCGCGTTTCTCGCTCATCTCGTCCTAAAACTGGCGCCTCACGGATTACTCTGATATCGCTATCATACGAGTACCTCTTGAGATGTCGGGGCGGTTCGCCGATAACTTCTACTACTTACTATGTTCGTTGCGTTCTATTCAACGTAGAAAGGCTCATCTGAGAGGTGAGGTCTTAGAGTGCATGACCATGGGCCATTAAGGACCAGTTTCCTGTCAAGGATACCTCAGAGATAAAAGCTGAGCAAGATGGATTTGATAAGATGGAGAGAAAAACAGATCTCCCAATTACCGACCTGAACCAGGACTGGGACCTCATCGCAGTCTGGATTACCGAGACGTTTCGTTAAGGATTGTGTTTGAAAGAATAAATTGGAGGAAGGTTCCCCTCGTTTTAAGTCCCTGGGTGTGTATAGGAAATGTAAGGAGGGTGTACTCCACCCTCCACCTTGACTCCACCTTCTTCACACCACCGTAGCCTCCAGGCACTCAGTCACCCTCCTCTTTGTGTGTATGTTTTTTTTTCTATCCCCCTTCAACGGGATTTCACGATGATGGCGAGTCTTGGCCTTGAAGGCCTCTGAACAAAGGCTTTTCACGAATCACGTCCTTATGCATCAGTCATATCTTTATTCATAAGGTACGTACGGACCCCGTGGCAGATGAAATTCGTAAGTATAAGCAGTATGACTAATGGGTTTCTTTGGACCAATGTAACCTAATAAACGAACACAATTGCTTACTTTTTTTTTCCTTCTCCCGTCTCTGGTAATGGAAAGAGAAAACTTCCGTCACACGTCTTCGCGACCACCTGGAAGGCGAAGGCTTCTCGTAAACTGTTTTCTAGAAATGAACCCGTGGCTAAATTCATATCTTCATTTCATTTTCGAATGGGGGAATATGATGGAGGAGTAAGTAGAAGTTGAAGGTTTGCCCTTATGGGAGGAATGAGCTTTGAGTCGAACATTTGGCTCGTAGTTGGCACAGACGCTGAGCCTGAAGGGCGTCGTAGTCGTTTAATTGGTGCCCTCCCTCCCCTTTTTCTTATAAACAATGCCTCATAATACGGTCGCCCCTGGGGCAATCATTCCCTTGTTATGTCACAATCTCCCCTCCCCATGTGAAAATGCCGGAAACCGGTCTCTTGCTCCCTCTCCTCCCTTTCCGTCTCATTGTGATGTAGGCCTAGTGGATAAAGGCGAACAACGTAGGTTGTTTTACCAAAGGGCGGGGTTCCAGGAAAACATTGGGTGCCTTGACCCTCCACTTCCGGTTTTCTTTTTGGTCTCCCGTCTTGCGCTTGATGCTCCTGGGCCCTCTTCCACTAACTCCGCTGCTACTTGAAATCTAGCATAATAATACCGTCTGGTTAGTATGGGCTCAACGTTTTCACATCTCTACGGGGAAAAATTGAAGGTTTACATTCGAGGTTCAGAATGGAGTGGAAGATTGTACCTTCGTGCCACAGCCAACCATCCCCCCCTGATACTGTCTCCAGGCACCCCTTTCTTTTCTTCGATTCCCCCACTTTACCACATCCCCTATAGTTTGTCCTGTGCCATCTATGACGGCACTTAAAGGAGGCTCCCTAATAGACCGGGTTTTGCTCAGTCGCTTTGTTTTTATTCCAGCAGCACCCCTATGCATGGATTCATCCTTGTTGCAGGTTGTTGGTGGGAGCACCGTTAGGACAGAATCTTCAACCGAGCACAAACAAGTCAGGGGCTCTCTTCAAGTGCCCCATTACCACTCGACGAAACGACTGCAAACAGGTCGTCACCGACGGAAAACGAGGTCTGAAATCTCTTTATTTTTGCCCTCAAAGCCTCACATAAGAAAGGGAAATTATGTTTATGTGAAGAAAGTTTGCGTTTAACATTTCGAGCGATGTGACTTGACAGCGGCAAATGCTCAGTTGGAATTTTGACTTCTTTTTCCAAGTAGAAGCCTTGTTATTAAGGATCGGAGTTATGCGATCACTTTCACTGGCGCGACAGGGACATGGTTCATTAATAATTCGGACCCATAAAGACTACTGCAATGGAATCAACTAGGTTCATTAATCTCATTTCATCTCTATTTCAAGCCCTTTCTCCATTAGTTAATTCCTCAATGGAATATAAGAAGCCGCTCAGCCGGATTTACGTCCTTCAATGTTTGACTATGATACCGTGAATCCACAAAGGCAGACCGAAGGTACTGATACCCGAAATATTATTTATCTCGCGGAAGTCCGGTTTCCGGTACATCTGTAATCTCTAACGATGTTTTCAGAGCGATGCCAGGGGCACGTAGTAAGCTCTTACGAGCCGTGACCGTGGCACAGGGTGTTTGAAAACCTGAACATAAGGCTCTATTAACTGTATTTTCTCTATAGGATATTAATTTCCCAATTCTGAAGAATTTCGCTCATTGCATTATTTAGAATCATCGGTATGTCACAAGCTTGTAAAAGTCACAACTGTGAACAACAAAAAAGAGTGGCAGTGAAATTTCTGGGCAACTTGATCGTTTATAATTCTATCAAAGATGCAGTTTATCCTCAGTACTAGTTTTGCTAATTCGAACGACTTTTGCGTTTTACAGTCTCTTGAACGTAATTTTGGTTTTTAACTAGACAGGAGAGAATACCATTCTGGAATGTGGGCTGAGAATCCAGCATCAGCTTAAAATGGCAAAATTGATTTGTTTCCTTCTACGAAAGTTTGCCAAGCCATATTGGACTTCATGGATATACTATGCCACGGGCAATAAACATAATCAAAATAGAGGATGAACGTAGATATACGCATGAATTTCCGAAATGCTTGGAAGTTAGATCTCATCGCAGAAGCTGTGCTTTGTGGTGATGATTATGATGGAATTCTCGATACTCTTCTTTTTTTAAAACCTTCACAAGACCACAGACAGTCTCCTGTTTTATCTCTGTCACATCACAAGGTATAAATGGAAACGTTGTAAGTCCTTTTTCCTCATATCCGTTGCATTTCCCCCGTGTGATCCATCCCCAAGTTACAGTATCGCTTCTATAAAACTCTCTTGTAGTTTTGCAATTTCGTCTGTAATTCTGGCTTCTTTTTATGAAATCCTTCAGTCGCCTGTACTTACTTCCAACCCGACGATGAATATTGAATTTGTGTTGATTTTGTCAATCTCTTCTTTCTTTTTTCTCAGTCTCAATCTCACTCGGTATTTAATACCCCCACTCTCCTTGTTGTTTTTTTGTCTGTTTTTTGGTTTGCAGATCCTCTAACGGGCCAATACCATGAGTGTAAGTGGCGAAGCCATCCTTCGAATCCGAAACCTTTACATTCCGTCATCCCCCGAATTCTCTTCATTCGGTTTTTGTCTCTCCATTCCTTCATCCTCTCTTCTTTCCCTCTTTCTTGCATGCTTTTTTTGGCATGAAGGTTTATTTTCGGCCGATTTTTCTATTTTCGGGGGCGATCGTAGGTATGCAATCATTCATTGAGTCATTCATCAGATTTCTTGGTAAGGTAATGAGAAGGGAACGGAAGCCGGCTTTCATTCGTCTTGGGGTCTCTACCCCATCATTACGTTTGGGTTTGACCCATTCCCTCTCCGCTCGAGCAACACTTTCATTTTATTCCCTTCTCGTTCTTCTTCCTTTCCTTCTCAGGCTTCTCTTTCTCGCGTCAATACCTCGCGATCAATGACTGATGAGTATGATTTTGCTGGCAACGACGTTGATGCCATCAAACTGATGATAATGACTGCAATGATTCGGCTATATGATGAAATTAATAATCTCATCAGAGCTCATGACTGTGACTGATAGTTTGATAACCCGGTGTGCATGTCGCTATAATGATGACAATGAAAAAGGTTCATACGTAAAAGACAGTCATGACCAGGATTACGCCATCGTCATGAGTTATCCTCATTTGAAAGTGGCGATGAGTTTCATGAGCTTTAGCGTGAGTAGCAAACGATAGTAGTGGTAGAGTTATTTAACTGCTCGATAGAATCGCAATGATGTTGAATATGACTGACCGGAATAATATACGAAAAAGAAGTAGATCGCCCCCGCATTTGCATGCAAGTGCCGAAGTCCCATCTTTCGAGCACGCAAAACGCATGATGGAGGATTTTTGCATGCAAGAAACGCTTGAGAATGAAAAAGGTGTTGGGGAAGAGGAAAACACTTTCTGCAAACTGTCCTGTCATAAAAGGCTTCTTCAGCTAATGAGCTTCCCTGAAAGGAAACCAAGTCCCTTTCTCCCCGACTTCTGTTCTGACACGTGGAAGTCTGAAATAATCATGGCAAGAGAGGAATTAATCCCGCTCCCATGTGAAGGTGAACTGGAAGGACTAAAAACGGAAGGCAGGACATGGACTAGTCCACTGATTCTCATTTTCTTTTTTAACGACGACTTGGTCATCATCCTGCCTCTTGCTTTACCTTTCTCTCTTTGTCTTTCCTCCCTGTCACGAGCACTGCTAAAGATTTTTTTTTTTAAGGAGTTCCTAAATTCCAAGATCGGACATCAGCAATAATTTTTTGTCCCATTGCTACGAAAGACCACAACCCTACTTCGTACTTTTATGGGCACAGGTGGGAACTCATATGATCCAAGAAACCATCAGTTGAAAACCATGAAAAGTATTTTAACAGCTGCATGAAATCCACAACCAAACCCCAAAGGCATCCGCAATGAAGGGAGAATGGATTCATGACAAAATAAAGCATTCAGCAAGCAACTATAGGCTGTAAAATGGTCTTTAATTGAAACATTGTAATTGAAGAGGAATGAAGAAGTGAAAAAGATATGCAAGGTTTTAAGTCGTTCGATTGGGAAGAGGCCACTTGTATTTCCATCCTGTCCATCTGTTCGTCTGGATGTTCCCGCTTTCGTTGTGAGATGAAGACGTTGTTTGCTGCTCAGTATCTTCCCGATTGCTGCGAAAAGCGGTATAATCTTAAGAATCAGCAAGATAATGGCTGAATTCCTATTTGGCAAAATTCTTGACAAAAGCACACTTTTATCGTGAAATCTAAATGCACACGTATTTTGACATCTGTTGGTAGAGAAGGAGAACGGATATCGGGATGGATGCCTCCGCTTCCTCCCACCCTCCATTCTCTTTCCGACAGTCCCAACAACTTCTAGTTTTTCTTCATTCGTGTTTAAGGAAAAAAAAGCAATTAAGGAAAAAGGTCTCTGGCGGTCGGTATTTAGAAGGTAATTCTAATAGTTTAATAAATTAGTGAATAATTAATGCAGGAAGATACCCTGCTGGATTGAGCTTACCCAATTTATTTTTTTAATTTTCAACCATAGTTACCGACACTTTGAAGCTGAAGTACTTTTCCAGTGAGAGTTACTCCTCACACCATCAATATCGGGACTGCCTTTGAAATCTCCCGTCATGTTGAAGGATGGCCGTCCAGAGCTGGGATATAAGCCATCGACTTGAAGCACCCTAGTTCAATGCTGCTGCGCTGTTAAATACTTTTTATTTTATATTCCGATTGCTCCCGTTCCCTAAGTTTCAGCTTGTAATTTAACGTTGCTCATTGAAGACTCAAATTTGTGAAATATCCCTATTGGGAAGAAGCTCCAAAAAATGAAATTTTGAATGAGTTCATGAACAACGACTGTACTGTGTGAATAGTCGAAATTGTGTCAAGCATTCCAGTCTAAGTTCAAATCCGGTGGCGCGAAAAGAAAGACGCAAAAGTGGAATGAAGGGATATCTGTACTTTTGTCAACGAGACCAGGAAGGAACCTTTGGCAGTGCCATGACGTTGAGGTCACAGGGTGAGAGAACCTCCTCCTTCCTTCCTTCTTTCCATTCTTCCTTTCTCTATCAGATGGACGACTCTTCACCTTCGTCTTCTCACTCCTCTCCTCTCCTCTCCCACCCCCAAATCCTCAACCCTCGATATCCCATGGTATCCCTGAAAGAGGGGAAAGAAAAAGGAAAAAGCCACTTGCTTTAAGCCCACATTTCTCTTCCAGGCTGCTTTAAATCGTCCAACCTCACTGTTGATAAATCTGCAGAGGGAACATCATGTCTGGTTTTTGTTGTTTTTCTCTCCTGCAGGCACATGTTTTTGCACATCTTTTATTTTCTTATACACGTTCACAGGAATGAGTTTCAAGAAATCATCTTTGCGCTTCTGGGCGAAGGTTTTTTCCTCCCTATACATATACACATATTTGTATCTTTTGCGTTTTTTTTTTTCAGTACCGTTTGCAAACTTGTACATGGCCGCACCGTGTGGGCAGCTTCGCATGCTCTCCGCGACGGATGTGTTTTTTTTTTTCAAATTTACTCCTTTTTTTTTGCTTGCTTTCTTCATGAGTTGATCGTTGTAAGGAATGCCATCTTGGGAATGAAGTGCTTCAGTGCAATTGGAGACTAGAGTTTTTTATATTATATACTATGCATGAATGGATCAGTGCCTGGGTGAATAATCATAAAACATTAATTAGTTAATTAAGGATATTTGACTTAGCGTTAACGAGATGAAGTTCGGGACTTGACTAATGGGTGACTAGTGTTGCTGAGTTGACTTTGGGTTCTCATCAACCAAAGTAATAGGAATAGTCTTGTAAGTGTGTATGGGAGATTGTTTATGGGATGAAGGAAGAATAAGAATTGGGAGAGAGAGAAAAGGGATGAGTTTTTTGCTTTTATTCTCAATTTTGAAAATCAGCTGGACCCCATTCGGAGTATTTCCCACCGAACTCGGAGGAGGAGATGAAGGATGGCCAATGGCTCGGCGTCACCGTCCGCAGCGCTGGTCCTGCCGGCAAAGTCATGGTCTGTCCACATTCCCCCCCATTCTCACGTCCCTGCTTGCTGTAGGAAGTTTCTTTGAGTGGAACTAAAGAGAGAGGGGTTTGGATGCAGGTGTGTGCCCATCGATACGTGGTGAAGAGCGACCCAAATTCTCGATGGGGACAGGGTCTCTGCTATACATTGAAGCAGGATCTTGCCTGGGACCAGGCCTGGCAACCCTGTCAAGGCGAATCCATGTACAAGTGAGTACATCAACACCTTCCTCCCCTTCAATTTTGGGGCTTCAGTATAAGATGGTAATGGTCAACTCATTAACTCATGCCTTCCGAGAGGTCTTGGAGGAGAGCGGAAAACTGTCTCCAGCATGAGGAACCTTCTGACGCCGTTCGGTTCAGCTCATTGCGATTTTTCTTTAAGTAATTTTTCCTGCATGCACGAATTCCCAGACGATGAGGCTCTGAATCACCCTTCCTGTCTGAGATAAGCTGCCAGACTCAGGCGTAAGTACGAGTGCATTTAGAAACATACCGCGTACTGTTTCGAGCGCGGAGAAGCAGTCTCTTCTCGTTGCAAGCGAGGAATCTGGGTTAAATTTGAAGGGAAATGAAATGCGCAGGATAATATTATTCGAAAAATGTTAAAAGGATCTGGACCCAAAAGACCAAAAGAGGGAGGGAGGGGGGGGGGGGGTAGCATTAGGGAATAATAAATGAGACAAGCAAGACCTTGTAAATCCATACATAGTTGGATATACTGTAATTGGAGGAGCTCTATTTTACAGCATAACTAGTGAAAAAGCATATAGTAATTGTGCCTTTAAATAATATGTACAGGTTGTTCGGAGAAGTAGCTCATTTCCATATCGGAAAAAGAAGACGCGAGGCGTACTGGAGAAAACGGAACGCTTTCTCCGACTAGTGTATGTTTTTCAAAAGAAGAAATGTGTCATTTGCTCTCTCAACTTATACATATTTTTTTCATGAGGAAACGTACTTCCCATCTCCAAATTTGTCTTATTTTTTGGCTTAGAGAAAAATATTTAAAATTACCCTAATTAATTGTATAACTACATAATTACGTGCAGTTAGTTATGCAAATAGAGTTATTGTATAATGTATAAGGTTTTGCTTATCAGCTGCATAGCGTCGGGGGGGGGGGCCAGGGGGGGGACCCCCCCCCCTTTTCAAGAAAAGAAGCAAAAAAAAAAGACCCATGGAATGCATAAGAGTTTCTCTGACCGCTCACTTTTTCCTTAACGCTACGCTTTTGTTGCTCATCCCACCAACCATTCTTTCTTGTTGTAACCCAGGAAATTTCCAAATGTTCAATATACTTCTGGTATGAAATTATGAAATAGTAACAACTTCCAGCTTAAATAATGTAATTGCTGTGAACTACGAATAACTATAAGCATTAAAGGTAGTGACGGAGAAGTTTTGACTATGCGAAACGTGAGGTTGTCCATTTTGCAGCAATTTAACTTTTGCATTACCCTGTATGATGGATTTTTTTTAAAACAAATTACATAGGCATCTCACTCTTCTGGCTTTCAGGAGTAGAGCAATGATATATCACGAAATACACATTTTGGAACGGGGGCAAAAAAAAATCCTCACTAGTATTCTTTTCTCCCTTCCTGGTATGGGACATCTACGAATTAAATGAAAAGAGTTCGCCTGAATTTCATTTAACCCCTGCCTTGGCGAAAAATTGGTAAGTAGTGTGATTGATATGCTAAGTTGCGCGCAAGGCATCGCAATGAGCGCTATTGAGTGGCGTTAAGGACTGGTACGCGACCAGACGCAATATTTTGTGTTGTGTACATTTTCATAGGGGTATGAGATGGTGATATTCGAAGCTGGAGAAGATCTGAACGAAAAGTTCTACCGCATTTTTAGTTTATCAGCTTTGTAGCTTCGTGTTTTCCCCTCTCATATCTCTGCGGATTCTTAACATGTTCGCTATTCCCAAAAAGTAGATGTAATAAGCTCGTGGCACCTTCCACGCCATGATGGAGGAGTGCTGGACTGCGTTAGCAGTCCCAACCCGTATGGGAGGTGTCAAGGTCCTTCAGGGATTAGCATGCACCAGGTGGTCTTCTTGCATATTGTACGACGCGAGTCCTTGTCTCGTGATGCAATCCATACCCCTCACTGGGTCACTGGATCTCCTACTGGGTTTCTGTGTCTGTAATCATTAGAGAGAGGCAGTAAGATGACTCTGCCCTGATAAGCCTATGCAATACATTCATTCTCAGCCCTTCCATCTCTACCGTGATCTTGCCTGCTATCTCCTATGCTCTGTTTTCAGCCGTCATCGAAAGGAACGAGAGTACTGCAACGTGATGCGTTGGTTGTTTTCTCTTTTGCCAGAGCCCACGAAGAATACGGGTACTGCCAGGCAGGCACAAGCGGGTTCGTGACCCGAGACGACTTGGTACTCATCGGTACCCCAGGTCCGTACACGTGGCGAGGAACTGTCTTTGCCCATAACATCTCCGACGATTACTTCGACCGGGACAAGACCAAGTACCTCATCCCCGTGGAAGAGGGCAAATCTCCTGTCGAGAAGTATAGTTACCTCGGTACGAGACCGTCTCTTTATGGCTCCTAGAAGCATGCTTCAAGCAGGACTCGACTCTCAGAATGACGAAGAATTTAATTGGAGCTCTTGTTCCTTTTATTTTAATATTATTATTTATTCTCTCGGACGGGCTCAACATTTGGACGTGCTTGTGAGGAGGGACGAATAATGAGGGCAGGTGTCGTTGTAGGATTCTCGGTGTCGTCGGGGAAATTCTTTCCGGGTAAAAACGCGGAGACATACGTGGCTGGTGCCCCCCGTTCCCAGACGACCGGCGAGGTGATCTTCTTCGAACGGGGCGGAGGATCGACCAGTCAGACCGAGCCGCAGATGAGGATTCTGTCGCGACTCCTAGGGGAAACGTTCGCCTCTGGCTTCGGATACGAACTCACCGCCGCCGATATCAACGGGGACGGGTTCGTTCATTCCGGATTCCTGCATTCCTGTTCTACTTTCCTCCGACGGACACGATTTCCGTAGAATGTCCGTAAGGCATACCACCAGAAGCAAAGAAATTGTCTACGATCTGCTCTTGCATGGCTCTCGTAATTCCAAAAATTGAATTTGGAAGTGAGCATCATGCATCGCAACCCCCCCTTCCCCCCCTTATGCATTCAATGTCATACACGTCATCCGAGAATCAGATAAAGACTTAAATTGCAAACATGTTCCCCTCCCCCTCTCTGCATTTCGCTTATAGGAAATTCTCGCACGTATTGAATTCCCTCATACCATTTGATTTGCTGACAATGGTTCCCCCACGCGACAGGGTGACGGATTTGGCAGTGGGAGCGCCGTTTTACTTCGACCGGGATTCCGGCGGCGCCGTGTATGTGTACATAAGCGACCCCAAGACGGGCTTCCGAGAGAATCACCCTTTCACTAAGCTGAAGGGAAGGAAGAAAGAATCGAGGTTCGGATTCGCCTTGACCAACCTGGGTGATTTGAACAAGGACGGTTGCCAAGAAATCGCAGTCGGGGCACCCTATGAAGACGAGGGTGTTGTCTACATCTACCTGGGCTCACGCCACGGCATCAGCACCTCTCCATCGCAGGTCAGTTCCCTTACGCGAGATTCACAATCTTTCTATTTCAAATTCTTGTTAACTTTGACCCCCACAACATAACGACGCATTCCATACAAAGGGAATCTGCGGAGTGCCCATTTGTTACAATTGGCCGAGGACGCATTTGTTTCTCGTTATGATGATATATGATGTAAATGTACAATTTTCATAATCAATCATTTGATGTAATGCCCTGTACTCATGATCATGGGAATGAATGCATTGCATTAAAAGGAGTAATGTCAATTCTGCCTTTAAAATTCCATGAACGCCGTTTTTCATTGATACTCCTCCACCGAATGGACGGGCGAGATAATTTAAAAAGGAGACGACGGACGCGCCCTCTTTGACGGTCATTGAACTACGTATTTCGTGTCATTGAAGACACGTGGTCATATTTCGCACAGACCCCTTATATAGAGAAAAAATTTCAAAGTTCACAGGCTGCCCATGATCATGTGCCCGAACACAACGAGTGAGTCCACATAATCATGAGGTTTCTGTGAATTATCCTTTAACACTGCGCGTTCTTTATGGCATCTGTATACCACGAATCGGTCTTGGCTAATTTTTACATTCCGGAAGCAGCGCTTCCCCGAAAACAGACTACTTCATTTATACTGGCGGAAATAGTAATTTTCATTTCAAGCGAAAGTATGTATTTGGATATCCAGAGATATTGTTATAGGTTGCCCTCCTAAACAATTGACTCGATATTAAAGGTCGGAATACAAGGTTTTCTAAAGGTTTTCGCAAAAACTGTTTGCTTAAAATTTTTTTTTTCTCGATAAATCCGCTTCTACAGGGTGTCCCATTTAAGAGGAAACATAAGGGGAATTATTAATTTGCTTTCATGTTTTGCTCTCAAAGTGCGCCTCATGTCTTTGAAAAAGTTCAGAATGAATGGGAAGAATACCTTAAGTGCATCAACAACAAAGGTGGACATGTAAGGGTCATTCATTTATCTGGAAAAGATAAATGAGAGCATATATAGCCCAATAGAGCATATAGTATAAAATTAAGTTTTTTTCCATGTTTCCACTTAGATGAGATACCCTGTGGAAGGTATAGCTGGGATATACAAGCCTGAAACTGAATCATATTCCACAGAGCTACTTAGCTAAGACAAGCCACTTGGATGGCTGCCTCACTATTTTTTACACCTCTGGTGCAATGCAACAAATCCAGGAAAGTCTAGATTTCCTATAGGGATCAATGAAGCAGGATTTATGCAATGGAGATATGGAAGGGCTGAGTTAGGCTCTCATACCATTCAAAATCCACATTTGAATGCAGAAGCAGACATTTATTTTTCATTGAAGGGCCCTGAATTTTCATTTCTTGAATCCCCATCTGCTGAGATGAGGGAATGAGTATCTTTTTTCTTATAAGTTAATTCATTGCTTTATATCGACATTAATTTTTGAAACTGCAAATACAAGCCCACCAAGTTCATCAGTTCCCAATTCTTTGAAAAAGGTTTGCTGTAAAAGTGACGGTTGGTTTTTCAAAGGGAAGTCCTTTTCATTACTGTCAGTTGTAGGTGCCCTGAAAAGAGCTGAAACAAACCAATATGTACCTTAGTTTTTCAGAAATGTTCAGTACCTCACTGGAGGAACTTTTCTATTCTACCAGGACTAGCTTAGAAATTACAACCCATGACAAAAAGTCAATTGGCATATCTTTTTTAAAATTTCTTTGGATCATTTTTGCTTCAAAGTAGCTTTTTAAATTATGAGTCATTTCAGTATTTTAGAACTCATCCAGATTCAAGAGCATCCCATAGGATACCATTATTTTAGATAAGCCAAAATATAAAATCCAATTGTTTAGCACTTCCCTGGAAATAATATTCAGTACTACCAATACTAGCTGAATACTCAGGATTCACAACAGAAACCCAGCTAAGGTTAGGCAGACATATCCCCATTCTGTAGTTTTTTTTTTTTTTTTTTTTTTTTTTTTTTTACTATGCTACATGTTGACTTTTCATCTGTTAATATTTTCCAGAGCTTTTGTTGTTGCTCAGCCATAGAGACCAAGGGTGGATTGCATAAAACTGACTTTAGTGTAATGAAGCTTTAAACTTCCATTAGAACTGTTAAAGGAGGTTTAGCTTTATTAGACTAAAGTCAGTTTTATGCAATCCACTCCAAGTATATAATTATGTGCTAAGTCAAGTCCATGCATGCCCCATTTCTTAAGGTCAATTCACTATTCCACTGTATGAATATCTCCAATGGATTTCTGCTGATTAAATTTGAATTCTGTATTATTTTACCAGGTCATCCGATCAGTGAGAGGTGCCTACATGCGCACCTTTGGCTATTCCCTGTCAGGTGGGATTGACATAGATGGGAATGATTACCCAGATCTTCTAGTGGGATGTTACAGCAGTGATATGGTGATTGGGATCCGATCCCGGCCTATCACCCATATTGAAACAAGGATTGAAGCCATGGATGGACTAGAAAACATTGACCCTACAAAACCTGGGTGTCAGAAGGATCTAGAGTCTAAGGATGTCTGGTATGTTCCTCACTCAACTTCTTACATCCCTATCAAACTCCTATGGTCTACTATAGCAGCAAGAACTGACATGTCAATAAGATACACTTTCTGAGATGAAAATAGCTATCATCATAAACATTCTTTGCCAACAGATCAGTCCATCACAGTTAGGCATAAGTTCAGAGCTTGAATGCCAAGCACTCTCCTTTCTAGCAACTCTCTTTTACACCAGAATACTGAACTATGAACTAGACTGTAGAGAAAGAGTAGGTATTTTCAGGTGAGTCTCTCACTACCCCAATTGTTGTAGGAATGTTTGAATTCTTCCTCTATGCATATGAGAGAAAATATTTTTAGCATTGGTTAGCATATAAGATAAAACATGCCTCTGGTGTTTTTTTCAACCTGCAGATAGCAATTTAGCTATTATATATTAATTTTGCTCTTAGCTTACAAAAAGCAAAACTTATTCAAATTTCAGTTAGAAAAATATTTTTTAAGTATAGGAAAAAGCTTTTCCATGTATTGCACTGGAGTGGCTTGAGCAGTGCTCTGCAGGAGTTTCTCATATCGCACAAATTTTTTTTTTAAGGCTGTGTCCTTGGCATGGCATTCTTGATTGCACTGTTATTCTGCAAGGGACAAACACAGACTTTACTGTGGTAAAGGTGTATTTCAATTCAAAGATGCATACTGTCAATCATTTATTTGGAAATGTGAAAATTTTCTTTTGTCACCAGCACCTCTCTTCAAGGGCTGTAGCATAATGACTGCATTCAAGATTGGTGAACCTAGAACATAGCAATAAATAACACCTTTTTTGGCTTTAGATGTGATACATTTAAGGAGAACTGCTGAAGTTGAGTTGCTTTCAAAATGAGTAGATAGAGGATTCTTAACAACAAGCATCAATGATGCTTCCTGATCAGGAAATTTGCTATGGTAAGGTTTTGAGCTTCTTTACCTTAATATTAGGAATTAAGACCATCCAATTATTATGGGCTATTCATTGTTGTTACAGTAACTTGCCCTATGAATAGCCCTATGGGCTATTCATTGTTGTTACAGTAACCCCATCTATTGGTGCATATAGCTCTGATTGTGGGACATTCTCTCAGACTTCAAGCAGCCTCATAATAATTTATTGCAGTTTAGAAAATTTATAAAACACCTGTAGTGAGTCATATGCTTTAAAGTAGTATTTCTCATGTTTGCTGAACAGCTTCAGCTTCAAGGCATGTGTACGGATGGCTGACTCTCACCGGGAAGCACAGATGAGCCTGTTGTATCACCTGGAGGCAGAGACCCACCTGGAAAGGAACAAATTCTCACGGGTGAGATTTTCTGATGGGATTACTGAGCGCCCTCACATAGTGGAGCGTCGCATCACCATCAGTGCCTTCAAGGAACACTGCTCTCAAGAGACTGCCTACCTCAAGGTGTGCAATTGTTATTTCTTCTCATCCTCATAGCATGTGTCCCCATAACTAGTTTTTACTGTTCACTTGACCCAGCCAAAACATTTCACTCTTACTTCAACTTATCTAGGCCACAGTATTCCTTCCAATACATCCCAAGATGTTTTGGATGTGTTTAGATTCTTGAGGATGCTTACAGTCCCAGGAGTGTTCCCAAATGGATCTGCACATGTGGTTTATGCTGAAAACCAGGATTCCTACATGCAAATTGTATTTACATTTGAGGTGTAGGAGCAAAGAGGAATTGCATTCCTCAAATTGTGATTAGTCAAAATTTTTGGACTTCCTGGCATGTTTTTCTCTTTCTCAGTTTCAAAATGGTGGGCCACGGTGGAGTCCCTTTGGATGTGACCAGGTTTCTTACCTTCTTCTCCATTTCCCTCTGTCTTTCTCCTCTTTTCCTTTTCTTCATTGTCTGTCTGCTAGAAAGAGTTCAGCATGTTTCAGGTCCGTTGTTCTAGGTGCTGATGGTTTATACTGGGTGGGGGATAAAAAATATGCTGTTCTTTGAAATTCTGTGATGTTTACTAGAGAGCAGGTTTAACAGAAGAGGCAAGAATGTTTTCTTTTGTTTACTTCTCTCTATCCTCTAGGCATCCTAAAATTTTTGTCCATTTTTCTCTTGCTGTTTTATGCTGTGAGCAATTTTACAAAAGCAACTTAAATTTCATTTTTGTGTGAGTAAAGTGTCAATGGGAAAGTGGTTTTAGTCTGTCCCTGAAACTGATGCTTTCTGTGAAATATGAAGCAGTGGTGAAATCCTGAGGTTTGAGAAAAGATGGAGAGGGACAAAAACTGTAATTATTTGCCGACAAAGGATGGAAGAACTATAGTGCTAACAGATCCTTTACAAGCTGTGAGAAGCTGGTTCATTTGGAAGGTACAGAGGAAGCAGCTAACAAAAATTTGCTTAAACTGAAGAAAATTGTGTTCATGTGGAAGAAGCCAGTAATGCTCAGGATGACAGCCCAGGAACACATAAGTCCCTGTTGCATATTGCCAGAAATATTGGGGGTGAGTCAGAAATTCCAGTTCAGCAGATTCTTAAGTGCAGAGAGAAAGAATGCATTCAAAGATTTGTTGCTGCTTGTCAGTACCAAAAGTGTGAAGGTCAGTGTTGTGTGGATACAATGATAAAATTTGAGTTGCTTTCATGAAATTCCTGGTGGGATAAAATGCTTGGAGATAGATGGATAAAAAATGTAGGATGTTTAGAGGATCTAACAAAGTAATTTTAATAATAACTTTTTTGTGCTATCAGTTGTTTCATGAACATAACAAATTTCTAAATGCAGGGCATTTCTTATGCTTCACCCATTATTAGCCTCATCACATACATTCATTGTTCCCATCCAAGATGCCACCTCAGCATTAGTTTCCTAGTTTGGTGTGTTCATTTTTCTAGCATCCCTATATCATGATTTCAACATGAAGATCCTTTGGGTGCCATATTATATCATTCAGATTGCATAGGATATGATCCTGTGCACCTCAAAACTCCCAGAAAGTCACAAGTATGATCTGTGGGTTATCTGCCAAATTTTCCTCCATTTTGCAGTGGTGTAGGTTATCTGCTAAATGAAAATTCACACACAGAGAATGCCTTTTTTTTTGTCAACCTGAGCTTTGCAAGACCCTAGTCATCTGCAGTTTGACCCACCCATTGATTGCATTCATCCTCTTCAAGGTTACAATCATCATACTTGGTAGTTGTTGTAACTGGTTACTTGTATCACCCATGTCATTGCTGCCAAGTGCTTATTGCCTTTTTCAAGGGCCATATTTTCCTCAAGGAAACCCCTTAAATCAGGGGTCAGGAACCTATGGCTCATGAGCCAAATTTGGCTCATGAACCAAAAAGTTTGGCTCATGAGTCAGGGCTAAAAAACATGGCTGTCCCTCATGTATCATAATGCATATGTTTGTTGTCAACTTCAGGAAAAATTGTGTTTATTTTTTTCCTGAAAATATTTGGCTCAGGAGCTCTTGGCTCAATCTTAATATGGCTCACATGGCCAAAAAGGTTCCTGACCCCTGCCTTAGATTAAGTAACAATACCACACTCTTTCATAGGAGCACACTCTGAAATTTTTCAAGTATAATGTTTTGGTGCTGCTTTTATGCATTTGTGGGCTAATCATCCTTTAGCAGACTTTTAGCATTTCCAGAAGCTGATTATGCACAAGATGTGGACTGTGTGTGAGATGCTGATTATACTTGTGACTTAAGGGTACTTCTTACACTGATGAGACAATAATTGAAATGTGCTGAGTAGGATCTTTTCCTGAGAATGCATGGTCCACACAATCCTGCATCATCTCTCTTTTCCTATTCTGCACATCTTTTTGCATCATAGACTTGGTTAAGCTGTAGGTCTTGATTGTTGGGATCAGCCACTGTAGGAATATAGACTTGGCAGAAAATGTCATATCTGTTTTCACTCATTCACCCCCTGCTGTTGTAGTTGGAGAACTGTAGACAGTATAACATTACTAAAGACCAAAAGGCATTTCATTTTTAAAGATGAGTGAAGAGATTTTGTGAAGAGAGGTCATTCAAAAGTCAAAGGCTTCTCAGTCTCAGTTATGACCCTATGAAATGTAGAAATGTCACATCATCATCAGCAATGCCCTTGTATACAAGGAATTTAAATATTTTAGGAGCATTGATTTCAAATGTACCACTGTTAATAATATTCCTTTCTACTTTATATATATTTATTTCTCACCCCCCCCCCATGTGTAATGTGCTTGATTATTTTCATCTTACTACCTTATCCAAAAAGTTTATGAATGGGCATTTATGCCCAGTAACGGGTGATGCGGGAAAATAGTGACTTAAATTGGTCGTCTGTATCTGGCCATCTGGCAATTACTTTCAAATGCTTTAATAGCCTATCTTGTAGCACATTTTATGTAGTTTCTCCCTGTGCTATTGTTTTTTTTTTAACAATTGAAAAAATTTAGAAAAATGGCTTCAAAAGAAGATACCTTCAGATCCAGAGTGTACAAGTTCTATTCCGACAACATTGAGAAGGGAAAACTCCACACGGTTCGGCATTTCCAAGCTGAAGGGGTGCCAGGGGAGCCCGTCTTCCGGTTGGCGCTTGTTTCGTCGTGTGCTGAGTCTGCCGAGTCTTGCTGGTCTGCACATTCGCTTTTTGGTCTGCTGAGCCTTGCTGGTCAACACATTCCCTTGGTTTTTTCGGAGACTTGCTGATCGACACGTCCGTTGTTGGTTTTGCTGAGACTTTCTTGTTTTCGTCGTTGGTCCGCCCGTGCTTTGCAGATCCGCACGTCCCTGGCTGGTCTGTTCATTCAGTGTTTTTACATGGCCTAGCGCCTGCCAAGAATGATTTGATTTGCCCGTTGGTTACATTCCGGCCTATTGCCTGAGTCATTGTTCTTTGTCTTTCACTTATTTATTTATTTATTTGTTTTATTTATTTTCATATATTTTATTAGTTTTGAAATGTCAAACCAATAGATTAATTATGGAGCTCCCAACTGGCCTTTCATTTCAACCCACGGTGCTAGGCAAAGTGCCATCCTGGCCCTAGCACTACAAACTGAATTCACAAGTACTGCATAGAAGAATGAGGAGTTGACCCTCTCCTGAAATGTACTACAATCAGTACGTTCAGGGGCAGTCAACCTCTGTACTGTTCTATGTCTCCTGCCAATGCACGGGAGAGACTCGAGCATGGGCAACACTAGTACAAGCCGTACTAGTACTGCATGGTGCAATGCCTTCCGCATTGGAAGTCCTCCACTGGAAAAAATTTGTAGAAATATTAACACCAATATTGGCCCAATGTTTTTCCGTGCCAATAATGGTCCAAGATGGGTGCCAATGTAGAAACCTGATGTATACATCCTGGCGGATCTTGGCGGTATATATTGACCCAATATTGGGGTGTTACTGGGGTACTGGGGTAATGTTCCAAGATGGGTCCCAATGTTGAGCCAGTATGTATATTCCTTGCCAGCCGATATTGATCCACTTTTGGGGTGTTACAGGAGATAGATCGTGAACGGGTGGATTAACCCCTGGGTGGATTAAACCCTGGGTGGATTAACCCCTGGGTGGATTAAACCCTGGGTGGATTAACCCCTGAATGTACTATGTTTAGTACGATCAAGGGAAGATCCACATCTGTAATGTTTTATGTCGTCCGTATGGCCATAGGCCAGACGTATGAACGGGCAGGGGGTCATACTTGCACAGGCAGTAAAGTACAAGTACTGCAGATAGAAAATCTTCACTGGGCAATGCCTTGAGGCAAACTTGCAGCGGCGATATGGCAGTAATCCCGACATTGGTCCAAGTGGGAGCCAATACTGGGCCAATAGATTCAGAGTGAGGTGAAGTTTCGTTTCCACGGATTAAAGTTTCATTTTCCCGTTACTTAATCGAGAGGAATCATTTCACAACTTTGACCTTGGCTTCAACCTATCATCTTGAATGCTTCCTTGAGCTGTTCGCATTTTGAGGTACCAACTGTTACCTATGACAGTCGCATATTTTCAATGAGTATTTTGAGCATTTGAGATGGTACGCGGGAGACGAAATCCTATGAAAAATATCTTTAATAGAGGACCTGGCTTTCCAGGCGTGATTTTCTTCCATGCCAGGTTGACGTTTCCAAAGTAACCAGACTCAATTTTCTTTTGAAGGAAGGGGAGAAGGAAAGGATAGCAAAAAAAAATCAATTTCATAATTAAAGTAATAAAAGTAAGAAATACAAAGACGGACGAATCAGAAGCTGGCTTCATTCTCCATTCATATCTCCTGTAAGAAGATGAGACTCTCGCCGAGGACGCATTCCCAGGCGTGTCCTTCTAAGTCGTTGCCCCATTCCCCAGTGAGAGGGTTCTTCGTCCAGAGACCCACGTGGACGAAGGCCGCGCCGCTCTCGTCGACGGTCACACCGACGGTCCGGTGCATCAAGTCCCCATCCGCGGTGACGCCGAACTCGAACGCGGACGCGAAGAGCCTCGCCTCCGCGGCTGAGATGGAGGACGGTGGACCTCCTTCATTCGGCGTGGAAGCGAACGGGAAAGGACGGAAACTCACTTTCCGGGCCGAGAACGAGGAGATGTCGGAGGTGCGCGGCGACGATGATCCCCGTGAACGTGCTGCTCGCGTTCCTGCATCGACCGATGTCGACACGGACCGACAGTTTTGCTCCGCTCGATTCCGCCTCCACGACCGATCCGTAATCCGTCAACTCCGTTCTAGAATTTACGGAGGGAGGCACGATTCCGAGTGAAATTCTTTCAGACGACGACACACGCAAGGCGAGACTCACGGCGCGGAATCAGGCGCGGAGAAGATCGCACCCTCGCCGATGGGACACTCGAACCGGATGGTCGTCATCAGACTGTCGCTTCGATTCGACTTGAGAAACGATAGAATCACCGTGTCGTCTCGCGCCGTGAAGCTTTGCATCACGAAGTCCCCGTCGACTGCGAAGACGAGACGTCTCCAATTGACAAAATTGACATCCCCGATCGACTTAACAATCAGAAAATATTTGAAGTTACGGTTAACGATGAATCGTGAAGAGGAGATGCTCGAATCGACTCCATTCCTCGTCCACATCTCCGCCTTTCCTCCAGCATACTGAACGACAAACGGGTCGATCTCGATCCTCACGTGAGTCAATGAAATCTCGAAACTGAAGCAGGAAGACATTTCCTTGTGATATTTTTATGGAACGGGTTCGTCATTTGGGAGGCCCAAAAGGACGACATACCAAGTTAAAGAATAATAACGGGTGATGCGGGAAAATAGTGACTTGAATTGGTCGTCTGTATCTGGCCATCTGGCAATTACTTTCAAATGCTTTAATAGCCTATCTTGTAGCATTTTTTTAAATGTAGTTTCTCCCTGTGCTATTGTTTTTTTTTAACAATTGAAAAAATTTAGAAAAATGGCTTCAAAAGAAGATACCTTCAGATCCAGAGTGTACAAGTTCTATTCCGACAACATCGAGAAGGGAAAACTCCACACGGTTCGGCATTTCCAAGCTGAAGGGGTGCCCAAATGGACTGTATACCGGATCCTCACTCGTTTCCACAACAATCTACCTGCATCTCGTCAGCCTGGCTCCGGTGGTTCCAACAAAAAAATGACTCCGCGCAAGCTGGCTGCCTTGAGGCGGGCGATGGACAACAGGGACGGGATTTCTCAGCGCCAAGCGGCCAAGAAGTTCGGGTGCCATCAGAGTACGATCCAGAGAAGCCTGGAGAAGCTGAATATCAAGGCCCGGAAGAAGCAGCGCATTCCCCAACGATCTGCGGCCCAGATTTCCAACGCCAAAAAGTTGAGTGGGCGACTTTTTCGGAAGTTTGGAAAGGTCGCTTGGATCATCGACGATGAGTCCTACTTCACCCTCTCCCACTCCACCATCAGCGGTAACCAGACCTTTTACACATCCGACATCAACGCCACACCCCCTAGCGTTAAGTTTTCCCCGAAAACCAAGTTCGAGAAGAAGGTTCTGGTGTGGATTGCCATCGGACCAAATGGCATGTCGGAACCACTGATCAAGGAGTCCAAATTTGCGATCAACGGCCAGGTCTACCTCGAGGATTGCATCAAGAGTCGTCTGCTACCCTACATCAGAACCAACTACGACGACAATTATGTGTTTTGGCCCGACAAGGCCAGCTCTCACTACTCAAAAGTGGTGATTGAGCACTTGGACCGCGAAGGGGTGAATTATGTGGCCAAGGAGGACAACCCCGCGAACCTGCCGGAAGCCCGATCTATCGAGGACTTCTGGGAATTCTGAAGTCCCGCGTTTACGCCAATGCCTGGAGAGCAGAAAACACCCGGCAGTTGACCAATCGGATCAGATTCTGCCTGCGGAACATGGACCGGAAACTTGTACAGCGCCTGGCAGAGAGTACCCGAAAACGGCTTGATGAAATCCGAAGGAACGGAGTCGTAGAAAATTGCTAGTATATGTAATTTGTAGTATTTTTCATGCGCTTTCAGATGATGTATAAAAGCTGTTGATGTGTTAATAAAATGATGAAGAAATTGTTGTTGAAAGAAAGTCACTATTTCCCCGCATCACCCGTTATTATATATATGATCCAAATAATCCAACTCTCAAGATCTTTGCACTTACCAGTGAACCTAGTCCAATATTTTCCGTTTTAGTGCTTGTATGCTAATAACTTCATGAATAATCAATCAGTTCAAACCATATTTGGAAGGAGGATAACCTCGTTTCTTGGCTTCCAATATCCGCTGACTTAGTTTTAGTGTATTCGTGGGGTAATGGGCTATCAAAGGTGCATGTGCCATTGGACCAGTTTTGCGACTTGTGTTTAGTCCAACCAATCGGCATTTGTAAATCGCGGCGCAGTCATTTCAGCTTCACCAAACTTAAAAAAAGATTCATTTACACCTTCTACACTTACCACCAACTCTCTTCATTTCTCCCATCGCCATGAAACGCAGTTCCGGAGAAATTCGAAACAGTTTTTCTGCTCGACAACGGCCTCTCGTCGCAGAAAACTGCAGCACAAATGGGTGCAAGTAATAGTACTACAGTAACAAGAATGCCGGTCAATCCAAGCCTATGACGCGGAAGACCCGTAGTGAACGCCCAGTGAAGCACAAGACGTGTTCACCTCGGGACGAATCTGCCATCCAGCTAGCGCAAGAGCTGAAAGACGCCACAGAAATGGGCGTCAGTGTCTATGCTGTGCGTCGCACCCTGAAAGCGGCCGGCCGGAAGGAAGCCCTGAATTTCCCCAATACACACCCAATAGCGCCTCGAATTTACATGGTGACACCAGCATTGCAACGTGGACGACTGAAAGCCATCCCATTGGTCTGAAGAGATGAACTGTCTTGGGCATCTGTCAGGCCCAAATGGGCGTGGAAGAAGTAGGATAGTGCGCAAACAACGCAGCATGTTCAACTTGCGGACATGTTTGACGGTTGAAGTCAAATGATTTAGGGGGGCATGACCGCCCAAGGAGTCGCCATGCAACATTCATGCGGGCATCGGTGCATGCCGCACAGTTGGCATCAGCACAGAGCTCTATACAATAATACAATAATCTTCGGTGAAGAATTGCTCGAAACCATGAAACACTACGACGTGAACGCGGACAAGATCATTTTCCAATCCCAAGCAAACCTCCCGGGCTACCAGCAAATGAATTGAAGACAACGGAATTGAGGCACTGGAGTCCCCGGACCTCAACTCCATGGAACATTCGTGGCACCATCAGAGGATACGACTCGTGGAGTACAACAATGACCCGAGCGGTATGCTTGCGCTGTGGGAGCATGTGGATCTCGAGTGAAACGATATTCCGCAACAAGTGTGCATAGACTTCATTGAGAGCACTCTAAGTCGTATCATTGAACTGTTAATACTAAAGGTGAATGCAAAAAATACGAAATGAACTCATTTTTCTACATCGCTGAACATAAGTTGCAAAAGTGGACATGTCACATGCACCTTTGAGAGACAAAAGTCTCTACGAATACAAACTTAGTCAAAAGAAAGTCAATGGATTTTGGAAGGATCAAGTTTCTCCTCTTTCCATACGATTTTCTATTCAAGTTCTCATGCACTTCTCTCACTTCTCGTGGAGGCTATAGAACCCTTATTCTCGTAGTCTTTTGCATGGATTCCAAATGGTAATTTTCTATAGACGCTACCTAGAATTCTATGAAATTATATAAAAACTAAACTCATGCGAACATTATAGAAAGATCACGAAAACTTCTATAGGAACCTTTATTTCGTCTCTCTCCTGCTGCCTATTGAAAATCTGTGGATGAATATAGGAAGTCAGACTGGCGGCTTAGCCACACCCCCTCCCCCGCCAATTTCCAAGAATATATATCAGAAAAATTCATGGATGGATTAAAAAGACACTCAATGTTGATATTCAGTAATTATATATTTGAAATTATGAGAATAAATAATAGTATTTATTGAGATGGTTCTGGTTGGTTTTAAATTATAGCCAAAAATTATTCAAACAATCGGAACTGAGCTTTTGAAGAAAAAGAATAAGTCGGATGAAATGAAGGGTATAAAACAAAATAATAAAAAAACCATATTTCGCCTTCTACAACTCGCTTCTGAAAAATTACCCCGTCAATACTAGATTAGGGTTTGGCATGATTTCCTCCGAGTGAAAGCTTAAGACGATGGTTGCAATAAGGAACCAGTGGGAACCTTATGAGACCAAGAAGCCCCAATTTGAAGCTCCTTTTTGAGATTTAAAATTACGTACTTCCTGTAATTTAGCTTTAAAAAATTGCTTACCTTTTCCCATTTTCACAAGCAATTCCCCTCTTGTTTTCTCTTTCAGTAACACTTAATTGCATCCGTTCCAGCAACAAAACCAACTATTTCAACATTATTTCTGTTAAAACACATGCTTGATCAAGATCAAAAGTTTTAAACCAAATCGCACTCGAACAATGTATCACCATGTAATGAATTGTTTCCTTTTGTAACGAAAGTGCTGAAACCCGGTACAATCATCTTCGATCCCGAATCGCCGCAAGGGAATCGGTAAAAGTCGTGGTAAGACAGAAAATGAATCACAGCAGCAAATTCGGTTGAATGATGGATATTATAACATCCGGCATTCAATTACAGTGTGTATACAGCAGGGCTGCTCAAACACCACGTGAGAAGATCCACTAACCAAAAATCATAGAGGTCTAGTGGTCCGGTAGAAAAATCTCAAGTAAAGTCTCAATGTGACATCTGGCAGTTGCAATCCTTCGCAATTTTCTTAATGTGAGTGCGGTCAGAGCGATGGGAAGGCATTGATGTAAGTTCCTTGGTCAGAGAAGCGCGATACCGGTAAGTTGAAAACGCACTTTCACATATGTAGGTGGACCCAATAATAGTGAGAACCATGACGGCCACTCCTTTAACTGTGGGTACATGTCAGAAGGCACTAGCTCACCCCAGAACATTTCTAGATTTTCTGACTTCAATTCTTCGTCTGCATGAAGAGACTCCAGCTGCAGATCCAGCTGCTTGAACAAAGGCATCTTTAGCCAAGCCTCCCGCAGAGAGGCTACAAATGAACTTTTGATATGCTAGAACACCTCTTTATTTTTGCGAAACTCACAGAAGCGAAAATTAAAGTCATTGGAATATGCAATGCTTTCAGAACGAGTGCGACATGACTCAACAGTTGTCATTCACCCAAGTAACAATATGTTGATGAAACGTTTCCGAAATGTTGACTCTATGTTGCAAGTTGATCTACAACATTGATATAACATTGCTTCAATGTTTCCACTTGGAATGTTGCTACGACATTTCTACGATGATGAAATCCGAAGGAACGGAGTCGTAGAAAATTGCTAGTATATGTAATTTGTAGTATTTTTCATGCGCTTTCAGATGATGTATAAAAGCTGTTGATGTGTTAATAAAATGATGAAGAAATTGTTGTTGAAAGAAAGTCACTATTTTCCCGCATCACCCGTTATATTACTAAAGAGCAGTACGAGCAAACCATATCAAAGTTTGTTTTGTTTTGAACTGGGTTGGTGCAGAATCTGTATGACATCCAGAGCCCAATACAGTTTCGCCTGAACTACACATTGATTCAAGAGGACCCTAAACCTGTGTATGAGGGTCAGCCACTACCGGACATCTCTCATTACCCAATCTTAAACCAAACCCAAGCCATCAAGGACTTTGAGGCAACATTCCTCAAGGACTGTGGTGAGGACAAAGAGTGCCAAAGTGACCTGAACATCCAGGCTTCTCTCCTAAATCTGCCTAAAGGTTAGACCATGACACCAGTTTCAACTTAGCTACTGACTATTTATTATTATTATTTAACCTGACCCTCTTGTGGTTTCATCTTTTTCACAGGGATAGCTTGTAAGTATTCTGTGGCATATGCTAGGATCTCCCCAAAAGTAATGCCCCCAATTTTGTCTACTGTAAACTACTGGTGGTGCAATCCTGAAAATGCATATGCAGATACTTTCAAATGCCCTCCCATTCATTGTCAAGTTTCATGAGTCCCACCCAGAAAGCTCTGCACTTGTGACAATTCAAAATGAAGGATTGTGATGACAACCATCTCAAGCAAAGAGAAGCAATTGAATTCTGCCCAGGTGAAGGAGTACCATCAATAGACATTCTTTGTTGTCACGTGAATATTCACACAACACACCCTGTGATGCACAATGCTAATGTTGACACAGCATCACCATAAGAAAAACCTTCATGAGGCAATGGATGTCTATTGGTGGTACTCCTTTACATGTAAGGAATTCAATTGGTTCTCTCTGCTTGTTTGTGATAGGCTTTGTCACACTCCACTGTTTCAAATCACCATAGTGGTGGAGCTCTCTGGGTAGGAATTACCTTACTTTGCGAGGAATGGGAGGGACATTTGAATGTGTCTGCATGTGCATTTTTGAGCTTATGCCACCAATAGTTTGTGGCAGACAAAATTAGAGGCATTACTCTTGGGGTGACCCTTCTCGTATCATGCATAACCGGTATCAGATGTTTTAGAGAAGATATGTGCATTGTTTCTCTCTTAGTAAAATTATAACTTCTTTTTACAAGGTTTTCATGGAAAGAAATTGAAATATGCAATTATGTACAAAGTCCCCTTTGAGCATTGATGTACTGAGGTCCTATTAAAGTTCAATTAAAAAAATTATTTATTTAGATTCTGGAGGCTATTACCTTCTGCACATGGGCGAAAAAGACAGGATTCAGCTGCATATTGCTGCAGAGAACACCCAAGAGCCAGCATATATGGCATCACTCTACGTGCGCCACTCAGATGCCATTACTTTCATCAAAGCTGAAGCAATGGTATGACAGAATCTGACATTGAACCCAGTCAATCCATGACATTATATTTCACAAGAACTGTAAAAGATTATGATGCTTTTATGATTCAAATCATGCTTCTGTTGGACATCTTTTTTGGATCCTTTGATTCAGTGTTAGTATTTCACACTGAGAATTGGCAAGTGTCTAACTGGATTGGACTATTCCAATTTCAGAATGTTCATCCATGTTTTCCATACAATGTATCCCTGGTGGAATGCTCCCTTGGAAACCCTTTCAAGAAGGGATCGAAGAACCTTACCATTTACTTCAATCATCGGGGAGACAATGAGCATCAAAAGCTGGTTGAGATGGAGGTCTTTGCCAACACAACCTCACAAGAGCCTCATCCAAAGCCTGTGCTCGAGTTTAAAATCCGAGTTGTAAAGAAGGCTGAACTGGTGATTCGAGGGTCAGGAATTCATAATTTTCTATTTTATTTTTTACTTTTGAGGTGTTCATATTGCATGATTCACTTAGTACTCATGGATATGTCACATTGGTGCTGCTTTAGGTATTATATCCTCTCATTGCAGTTTTTTGGCAATTATCTGGCTCTTGGTCAGTCAGTCAGGTTTTACCTTCAATTATTAATTGAGCACATTATTTTAGTACTTTTCTTTTATGGAATGTGTCATTTTGTAGACAATTTTTCAGATGTTTACATTGGAAAATATATTTGCCCATTTGAATGGAGATTGACAACCATTTGATACAATGACAATGTAGAGTGGGAGTCCCAGAGCAGACTCTGTATGGTTGGAAGCCAATCAAGGAATCAGACCTGCAATATTTGGATGAAATTGGACCTCGGGTTGATCATGTCTATGAGGTGATCAACAATGGACCCTTAGGAGCAGATCGAGTCACAGTTCACATCGACTGGCCTTACCAGGTCAATACCATTGGCCCCAAGAGGAAGTGGCTCCTATACATCATCACTGATCCAATTGTGGAAGGTGAGAAGTTGAAATTGTAATTCTTGAACATAAAGCAATCCTTCCAGCTGTCAGGAGCTATAGCCAGATGGACCCACCATACATGGGTTTGAGTCAATCTCTGAAACTTTGAAATTCTAGGTCAGAGACCTTCACACAGTGCTCATTTTTCAGTACAATTCCTTTATGAAATAAAAATTTTTTTTTACCATTGCACCTTTGGCCACATAAAAAGAAATGATTTAGTTTGAGTTTTAAGTGAGAATCACTTCATTGCATACATTTTTTTGCAATTTACTAATGCCATGAATGCCAAAACAAACTTGAAATTGCAAATTGAGGTTTAACTCTACTCTCTTCCATCTCATGTTAATGCATGTATTTAATTTTTATTTTCCATGAAAGTATTTTATCTTCCACCTTTCCACACTTTTTCTATATTAAATTTGAGTGTAGCCTCTCAATCATTCCTCTTTACTCTTCTGAATTTTTCATCACCAATAGTCATTTCTTTACTTTGCACCAACTATATTGTTTCATCACTAAAATACCTACACATTGTAACCTATCCTTGATTTATTCATGAGATACAAATTCTTTGTCATTGTTTTTTGAGAGGCATATTTCTTTCTGGTTGGTGACTAGAGGAATACCCTGTATAAGAGAAGCAAGGGGCTGAAGAAGTTGTTGACTGGTCCACTACTGTAAGTATAAAAATAAAAAAGAGTGGAAAACATCAAGAAAAACATAAGGGAAGGAGAACCATATGGCTGCTGTACAATCTCTCCTGATCATCAACTCCTATCTCCAATCTCCATGCCCAACCAAATTTTATTGGTTTAGCTGATAATATTTAACACAGGGGTGTCAAACTGGTGGCTCATGGGTCAGATCTGACCTGCCATTCCATTTCATCCAACCTGCAAAGTCCGCTTCAACAGTAGACTTTGAAAAATTGCTGCGAATTTCAAATTTCTTGCAGTTAAAATGTGGCATGAGATTAGTTTGTGTGGCCCCCAACCACTCTGCACCAACCTATCTGACCCTTGGCCAAATTGAGTTTGACACCCCTGATTTAGCAAATAAGTTCTTAGCATGTGCAACATGTATGTACAGGGACAGAAGCAAGACTTGCATTCTTCATTTCTCTTTCATTTCCCCTGAAGCCACAAGCAGATTTTTTTTTCCTGAGTCTCTCATGGGTAAATTTATTTGAATACAAACTCATGAAGGACATCCTGAACATTAAAATTTTATTCTTTAAAATATTTATATTTACAGTTTCTATCCAAACATGTACCTTTTTAATTGTTGTGGATTAGCTAAAAGGGCTGAGAATACCATTCAAACCCTCTGCCTAATTACAGTAAAAATTGACTGATATGTGATGAGTTTCTGATTAATATTCACTTGCAGGTGATGGTGAATGTGTGATGCCAGCAGGGCGTGTAAACTATCTTGGCCTCGACAAACGATTTGAGGCTGATCTCCAGCCACTTTCATCTGGTTACACTGTCACAGAATCCAAGGGTCTCATCTCATCATATAACACAGTGGAATACATCCCAGTGGAACCATCCTCAACCCCATCATTTCCCATGGAGGTGGAATTTGACAAGGACCAGGAGGAGAAAATCCAAAAGCGCAAGAAGTACGAAGAGACTAAGATCAAAATCACAAAGGAGCAGTGGGAGGTGAAGAAGCAGCATGTGAAGACAAGCTCTACCAGTTCCAAGACGTTTGCATCAGGCCGGGATGTATATAATGTAACACGAGCACAGCGGGTTCGTCGAGCTCCAGCAGATGTTGTCCAGGCTGAAGCTGTCCTAGACAAGGCCACTGGCAAGAAACGACAAGTTGTTACCATGGTATGCACCATAATAGAAATGTAAACAGCAAGCTTTTTCATTGCTTTTGAGTTTTTGTAATTTTGTATTCCTGGAACTACTTTCTTAGATCTTGTCAAATGCCTTGAGCATTGTAAGAACAAAAATCGTGGAAATTTACAGCATAATTTAAAGTTTAATGCCATGAGGAGTTTTTCAAAAAAGAATTACAATAAATTCTGTATATTTACCAAAGGAGGCCACATCCTCATTTCAATCATCTATATGTGCATGTTTATAGGACTGTGATAGGGAGACTGCCGAGTGCTTCCGTTTCACCTGCAACATTAGGAATTTACTACGAGGTCAGACGGCCACCATTCGGGTCCTAGCCCGTCTCTTCAACGAGACTCTGATCGCTGACTACCCAAGTGTTGATCAGGTCATCATCAACTCCAAGGCTTCTCTGGAAATTGACCCAGGACTGGATATTGATCAGGACACCACCAATGATGTGGTCTATGTGAGTTCAACTGCTAATCTAGGTATAGCTGCTTTTTAGCTCTCCACTATGAAAAATGAGGTCCATGCTTCAAATCACTATTACCTTAGAACAATTGCTTTGAATAGAATATTTAAAAATATTATATAACCTGGAGAACTTGAAGGCAAATATGGTTTAAAATATTTCAATTTCTGTCATTTTACCCTGTATGCATTTATTATGTATATCACCAACAAGTGAAGGAGAGAGAGAAGCTATTCAATATTCAGAACTAGATTTTCTTCATCATTTAGTTTGGGAAGCTTGTGAGAATAATTTGTATGGGGACACTCTTATTAGGCTGGTCTCTGGATAATTTACTGCTCCCACACCAGGCATTTAGAGATTTGAAGGAACTCTATGAACTGTCTTTTTATCCATACATGTATTTTCAAGCTAGATTGCCCTGAAGGCATGATTGCATCTCTATTCAAGTTTGCTCAAACATTTATTACCCCATTAGGAAAATTCCCATTCCCATTAGGAAGCAATAATTTTTCTTAACCATATTTCTTTGAATTCAGTTACTGTTTTCCATTTTGTTTTTTTTTGCTCTCTCCAACAACTAACTTGGTTGGCAGTGTTTCTTCTGTAATGCCTCAGTACTGATATGTAGTACTTCTCATATTTTCCATTTTCAGTATGAATTAAATATATGCATTCAAAATATATTCATTTGAGTGTTTTACTTGGTATAGGTATCAACTAATGCACAGCCAGACCTGGATCTCTTGGCAATCAGCCAAGGAGTTCCCTGGTGGGTGATTTTGGTCTCTGTGCTTGGAGGACTCCTTCTTCTTGCCCTCATCATCTGGGGATGCTACAAGTGTGGGTTCTTCAAGCGCAAACGACCTGACCCTACACTCAGTGGGAACTTAGAAGAACGACAAAAGCTCAATGCTCATGGCTCTTAGCCCACACCATCTTGGCCCAAGGCATAGCATCATTTCTATTAGCTCCAACATAGTTTATTTATGGCAGGTGGCCCAAAAAAGTGAACTAAAGATAGGCCTATCTGCATTGTAAGATGTTTGTGTTTATGGTGTTTTTTGAGCCACCTATGCTGTCAAGAGAGAGTGTCTGCTCTCATGCATGGATGACTCTTCTCTTGCAGATATGTGATAGACTTCATCTGATGGTGGAAGTGCTCCCTTCTGGGCCAGCATAATTCTCAGGCTGTCTATTCATGATACTAATTTGTGACCTAGTGGAAGGAGCTGGCATCCAGGCATGATCAGACATCCATCGATGAGGTATGTGGACTCATCTGCCATCTGGCCCCCACCATTGCATGGCATAGATGGTCTCTTCTTCATCCATCATGAAGAAACTTGGCTTCCATGGCAACACAGAATCTCTCGATCTCAGGTGTTAACAACACAAACTTAATGCAAAAATTCCCTGAGAGAGACTGTTTTGCTTCCAGTGATCACATGGACCTTTATTCTTCTTTCTCACTGCATTGCCTCAATCTATGATGCAATGTCATTTGTGCCAAATTCACTCTAAAACTGCATCGATCTTCCTGCATGCCAGCTCAGTCCCAATCCAATAATCCTTTGATCAGTCCGTCCCATTGGCCCTCACATCATCGGTGCTGACAGGTCTTTTTCTCGATGCCCCTTCCTATTCATTCATTGATTGATATTTGCATTCATTCAGGCCTGTTATTCACACTGACTATGTGCCACTTCCACTGCCACTGAAACACTTCAGGCCTCTTAGCATCGACTGGTTATTTTTTGACGTGCCAAATTGTTGTTGACACCTTCATGGAACTGTGATCATGTATATTCATGTCTTTGTGTGTCCTTTTTGTCAATTGATTATATATGATCCACTTATTGATTCCCTCCTGGTGGTATCTTTGTGTCTCCAAAATGGGTGAGTCCAGAGTTGAGTTAAGAGTGGATGTGGGGAAATGAGTGATAAAATTAACTGCATGGAAAAAATTTCTGATGAGTTGAAAGAAAACTTTCAATTGAAACTGTTTGTGCTTGACTCTGGATTCCTCCCACAGCTGTGATCCGTGAATGTCTGGCATATACAGTAAAGAGATGTTTCCTTTCATTTCTTTGTTCAATTTTGGGTCTCTCATCTTCTCACTACTCCTATACTGATTCCAGTACTGAAATAAAAAGAGATTTTTTACTGATGAGTTCATTCATGGTTCTTCAGTTGCAGTAATGCATTTTTCTGCATGATTTCCATGGTGACCCTGAATGGTCATTAATTTCCTCTGTCTTTTTGGAGAATTTTCATGCAGAACAGATGCTAATCACAGGGTCACAGTAGGTATGAAGCTTTCCAGCAGTTCTATTGATAAAATCAAGGCACTTATTTATCTCTCGATCTCATGCAAAATGCAAATTTTGTGCATATTTCTTTGCCAAAAAATTCACATCTGAATCCTTCCAACAATGAATAGAAGTGTTTAAATATTGACATTTTTACTGTTTAAATTTTAGCATTGAACTTTGCTGAAAGCCAAGTTCAATTCTAATTAACACAATTTTAATTTTGTGTGCTGAAGCATAACTAGTGTCTGGTAGTCAGTGGAGAAATTCGCTCTTCACATCTCTCGTATTGGAATGGTGGTTTTATGTTCTGGTTGCATTTTTTCATAATTGATTTTGATGCCTTTCTATATAGCGAAAGCCTAACCATCCATTTGAGATGTCCTGCTTGGCTATGAGGCTGAAGCGATATTGCTTCCAGATTTCTTTTTTACAAGTGAACTGGCACCCTCAAATTTTTAAAATGCAAAACAATCGTAATAAATAAGAGCCGATTTGAGGAATTTACCAAAAACTAAAGCTTGAGAACTCATTTGATGACTGTCGCCTGCACTGAGTCATGTAGCTCGACAATGTGAGGCATCTGGTGAGAATCAGCGAGCAGATTGCTTTTCACTGCTCTTTTCGATACTTTCAAGTTTTCAGAAGTCTTGCATTTCAACAACTGGGATGACATTTTTTTAACATGGCAGAAGTCATTCTTGCTCCTGCGAGATGCGATGGACAGAAAAAGGCGAGGCTTGCACGAATATTGGTAGAAAATATGCAAGTACTAACGAGTTTGTTTACGCTTCAACAAACTCACAAAACTTCTACAAACTCGCTCTCGTCGACGATGGAAGCAAACCGATTGATTCGTCTGAAACGTGCTCCTTCAGCGTCCACACCTACTAAAGCGGTGAAATTCCATGGAATTTAGGCATTTTTCACTGCGATGGTAAGTCACTTTCGGCTATATGATGTCAGCGACATTAAATGAAGGGCGATTCTTTTTTCGGGCTTCGACTCTTCCCCCCCAACAATGGGTACCTGATAGGATTTCCACTGAATGCAACATTCCTTGAATTGCATGTTTTCCGAGTTTCAGCTTTCTATATCCGTCCGTTTCGCTGAAGCGAAAAAAATTTCGCAATATGCGTACAAGTGAGAAAATTTGGTCTTGGGGGGGGGGGGGGATATTCTCCTAAAGTAGGAGCTTTGCTACAATGCTTTTCACTTGACTCAGACACACGTGCATGGGACGTTCCTCATGCATGAGTGTCGAATTCAAGTGAAAAAACACTAAAATCAACACACCAAGAACTACTTTTCTACCAAATTTCAGCTAACATATCTGCCCATTTAGCCAGGGGATGTACCCCAAAAGTAGGATTTTCCTTGGAATTAGCAGCCCAACAGCTACTTGCTTGCCAAATTTCCTATTTATGTATCTGCCTGATTCGCTGGAGCATACAAATTTCATAGAAAACTTATCCCTGAAGAATGTGCCCCCAGGGGATGTACCCCAAAAAGAATATTTCCTAAAATCAGTACCCCAAGAACTACTTATCGACCGAATTTCAGCTTTATCTGCCCGTTTTTTAGGGGCGTAAAAGTATCTGGTAAAGCGTCTCCTCAAAATTATATCCCCAGGGGTTGGACTTCCAAAATTGGATTTTTCTTGTATTCAGTGACCCAATAGCTCCTTGTGTAAGTTTCAAGTTTCTGCATGTCTACCACATGTTTAGAATCAGCGTTAGTCTGTCACAATCGTCTATATACAGAGTTGGCAAAAGAAAAGCTATAGTTTTTGGTGAGTTGTCAATCTTATTAGAGGCTGCCGATTCTGATGAAATTTAGTAGGCGCATAGGATTACTCAATAGGAATTTGCGTGCCGAGCTTCGAGTCAAAAATCCAAGAACTGTGAGATTGGCATTTAATTTACTTGTCATCACCAAAAGAGTAAGTGTTCATTTTTTCTTTCGACTTCAAATTTCTCACAACTGACAAAAACAAACAAGCAAACAAACAGAGCAAAAACAAAATGTACAAATGCCAAAAACGAAAGCACACAACTTGGTTTAGATAGGTTCGTTTCAACTGAAAAGGTGTTCAATGTGCCGTCCATTCTGTTGAACACAGGACTCTAGTCTGGGACGCCGCAGATGAATGGCTCGGTCAATAAATCTTTGAGGCAGTCCTTCCTCGATAGCATCATGCAGGAATGGAAGGTCATGAATTCGGTCCTCCCTTTCAGGTTCACATCGATATTTTCGACTGCACATTTTGTTGTGGATCATCGGAAAATAATTACAACTTCTATAATTTTAGAGCCATAAGGCTGAAATTTGGCACAAAAATTCAAATTGTTTCACCCCACAAGCATACCAAATTTAATCAGAATCAGCAGCCTACAATGAGATTGACGGCTCACCAAAAATGACAGCTTTGTTATTTTTTGGCTCACCCTGTATATTAAACATACACTTACCGTATTTACTCGAGTAAATTTACTCGAGAGGGCGCATTTTTATGCATATTTATTGTGTTTGATGAGGGGGTGCGTCTTATTCTCGGGGGGGGGGGGGGGGGGAATTCCTCTTTTTCAAGAAAGTTTTTTTTTCAGCGTACCTATAACTCATTGGTCGCTTACTGAGGCGGAAACAAAGTCTGTAGTCAGTCAGAACAGAGGAAATGTAATATTATACTAATAAAACAGTAAACAGGGAATGGCTACGTCAATTCGCGGACTTCGTTAGGTATCGGAATCGGAATCTGAGATGTCTGGCAGCGTGGAAAATTAACTTGCGGAGCTCTCATCCTCCTCCGAGGGGCCGTTGCAGAGACAAGAATTTCTCATGGAAATTTTTGAGCCACTGAGGTTTTCCGACGAAGAGAAAATCCAACTCGCTCCACGAATCGCGCCGTTCATCCTCACGATGCATTGAATTTTCGATGGGAGATCCCGTTTGCTCTTGCTCTTGTCTCACGTCTAGATCACGCTAGTTTTGAACAGAGGCCATCCTTTCGAGACCAAAAGCCGGCAAATAATGTCAGAATGAAGCGAAATGTATAAACGGTATGCTTCACGGAGGATTTTATTACAGAAGTACGGAATCACTCTTTTTCGTATTCGGCCTTCTTGATTACCGGAAATGATCCCTTTTCCCCCACGAAAGACCATGAGATTCTCAAGTGCCCAGCTCAATTTCCCCTTCACCTAGATCCCCTTCCGCATACAGCTTTCCTCGATGTTATACTTACGATCTATTGCACGGATGCCCAACTCCTTCGCTTCCTGAATCACTTTCATTTCTCTGCTGCCGTGTAACTTCCTCGTACATTTCCACGGATAATAAAACAAATGTTAAGTTCTCCTCTCAATAAAGGTCAGGACAGTGAATAAGAAGTTAGGTTCGACCAACCTCACGACCGGCTTTACCCCTTCCCCATATTCCTTGTCCGACACTTTTCGCTATGAAATAAGGGGATGCGCCTTGTACAAGAGAATCTTTTTTTTTCTTTTTTGCACGAATTGGGACCTCAGAAGCGGGGATGCGTCTTATACACGGTGGCACACTATACTCGAATAAATACGGTACGTTTCTATTTGAAAAGCAATTACAAAAAAATACAGAATTCAACGAATTCAGATCCATGGACGAATTCTATATTCGTCCATAGGAAGTGAGCGCTACGCGTTTGCGCCACATTGTTTTCGCAATGTAGATCTTTTCAAAAACATTTACACCTTTCCTCGGAAAACAATCTCATCAAGACAAACGCAGTATAATCGGATTATGTTGCAGTCCCACTACAACATAATCCGATTATAGTAAATTTTAGAAAATCAAGTAAACATAGCGTTAGCTAAGTTTTTTTGAAGATAAGGATTGGAACTCGAAGTCAAATCAGAACAAAGCCCACGGGGATTTACATACGAAATATTTTAGCAGAAATTCATGCGAACAACCCGCGAAGAACGAATACGACCAGTAAAAAAATTGAATGCTTGGAACAATTGAAGGAAACCGTTGCTGCAACTCATATTAATATTATGGCGAGGACAAATATTGGAAGTGAATTTGGAGTCATTCTGTTGCTGACGCCTGAGGTAGGTGGACCACGCAATGCCATTTGGAGTAGTAGACATCCGGAAAATGTCTCTTTGCCTCTGTGGTGACTGGAGCCTGTCTCCTGAAAAAGGGCATTCTTTCCTTTATGTCGCCGGCTTGGAGAAATTAGGTAAATATACGGCTGCTCTCAAAAGAAGTATGGCCAACCAACCTCGAAGTAGACAGCGTGAATGTTTAACTGCAAGTTCTCCACACAAGGTTGACGAGTCCATTGGTCTGACGCATAATGTGGCATTTGCAAGGTGGTTTTATTATCCTGAGATCTGGATAAATGCATATCTCTGGATCATCGTACCCTCAAGGTGCTCACGTCCACTTGCATGGAGGAGTGCCAGGGCCTGTTAGTTGCCTTAGCTAAATCTAAGTATAAATCTATGTGTAAACTAAATCTTGTCAAATAGTAGTGCGAAAAACAATAGAGGTTTAAATAGGATTGGGTTCTTCACCCAACAGCTTGAGTTTTGCACCGTTCGCAGTTCTCTGTTAGCAGACTACTAGTAAGTACAATGACTTGCTATTTCGTCATCTCTGCATCAGCTGGTATCTATGTTTTGAGCAGGCTGAGGTGATACATGGGTATGTGGCTATGACCATATTGGAGGGACTTCCATGTCCGTTAGTCTCCTTGTATTTTTTTTTATGCCATAGGCCGAGTAATGACTCCCCAAGACGATATGAAATTTGGGAAGCTTGGATTTCAAAGAAAGATGGATTTATCAAGAATGCCAGTGACTTCATTGAAGAATAAAATGTGAAGTTGAATGAACTGTGGGAATGGATGGCATAAAACATCACAATCAGCACTGCCAACAGAGATCAAAGGAACTGGAACAAATACAAAAGAGATGGTGACAAGGACAACAACCATAAGACCAACATCAAAAACGAAAGAGAAGCTTTGAACTTGTTTGGTCTCTCAATGACAGTCAAAATGAAGCTTCAAGGACCTGCCTGAGGACTGGAATGGACTTTAGGCATAGATAAGTTAGCCATGGAATGCTCTTTGATACAACATCTCTTCCCTTCCACCAAGCAATATAATAAAACAATATAAAACAGCTTCATGAAAGTATAGCAAAAACTTGGACCTCAATGAACATATCTTTAAGAACACTAACAATCTCTTGGACCCAATGAAGCTGGGTGTTTGTAAAACAAAATTTTCTATGTCAATGGTTCTGTCTAGTTTCAAATAACTTGACAGAAGATGCTGAAGTCACAACAAAGCAAGTCAAAGGAACATTTGTAGCACCTTGAATAAAAGGAAACCAGCTCTGCATAGGGACTCTATAAATCTCATACAATAGTAAAATGAAACTCTTCCTTAAATATCTCAAAGTGCCTCTGTCATATACATCTCCTTTGATATATATTGTGCATATAAAGTAGTGGGTGAGGAAGCTCTATCTTCAGAAAGGAAGGTGGTCCAGATGGCATTTCAGCGTAGGCTGCCGCTTCCGAATGCAGAAAGGGTCCTAGAGTGATTCCCTTTGGCATGAGTGTGTGCAAGGGCAATGCTCAAGCATTGGACCCATTCTTCAGCATTCTTTCCATCCTGAGGCTTCAGGACAAAGCTGCAATCATCTGTGAAGATCTCAAATGCTTTTGGCAAGTGTCGTCCTCCTCTTGAGATGGTCTTCACACTTCGGATCTGATTCAGCTCTATCGGTACCAGCTCCTTGTCGCTTTTCTAAACAGAAAGAAAGGAGACAAGTTCATTCACTTTCCAAGAAGGAATCATCAGAGTGAACAAGAAACCAACCAGACACAGTGAGACTTACGGAAGACCCAACTCCTCGATATGAAAGATGTCCAGCAGACAAAGTAAAGTATCGCATTCGCCAGCGTTTAAACAGCCGCCACTTTCCCTTTTTCTCCTTCAGCTGACCTTCAATGACAGGCTGATCTGGTTGAAGAAACCCTGTTGCCCGATCTGGATGATTACATAGGAAGCAGCCCCATTGACCAGCCATGGCATTATACTCAAACACATCAAAATATCGAATCCCTCGCAGTTCATGGATCAGCAATTCCTGCTCCTGTGAAGGGAAACAGAATTCATCTTTAGTTACAGTTTCTAATGATTCAGAGGAGCCAAAAAAACTTTTGTGGCAGCTTACACGACCACTGGGGAAAGCTGAGGTGACCAAGGTTACAAATGCCTTGTTCTCACATTTGAGGGTGTCCCAGCAGTTCTTGAGACTGCTTACAGAGGACTCCCTGGTACTGAGGGCAGTGGAAGACCTTGCCTGAAAAACCAGACAGATTTATTCAATAAAAGATCCAGGGAACAAGATAGAATTATGCAGTGCATCTCGTGAGGGCTGATCAAATTTCCAGCCAACTGCCCACAAGGTTTCAATGTCATAATGACGACGTATGGGCTCAAGAAACATGTGAAGAACGATATTGCCCAGGTCCAATGCTACCCAATCACTGGAGTTTGATCCCTCAATCTGAGGTACAGGCACAAATCCCTTTGAATCACCGAGGCGCCTTTTCAATTCCTTGCGAACCTCTTCACCCAGAGACTTGAGGTGCCTTGGAGACATTGCACTAACTACCACCATATAATCTGCATACTGGAGACTTGCAGGAAGATGGAGGACACAAGGGGCCTGGGCATTCAGTTCTACCAGCAGATTCATCAAGCTCTCTATTGAGAAGGAGGCATTGATCTCCTTCCTCCTCAGTTTCTGCATAGTGGCCTGCTGTGACGCTACTAAAGTTCGCGGTGAACTGATGCCATGATTAATTCCTTTCATCATTCTCTTTGTGAAGGTTTCACAAAACCAGGACTGTAATAATCTCATTATATAACAATTTATTTAAGAACTGCATAAAATAAGACACCCATCAATGCAAATAATGCACAACTAAATGTGAATCAATTGATTAGGACTGTAATAGGAGATGGTCTAAAGCAGACACTGCATGTAGCCATGCTGGTCAGAGATGATCTGACCCAGTGTCATTTTTTTTTATCATGCTCACATTCAGCTCTTCCAGACTGGGCAGAAAAGGGAGCATTGAAGCAGACATACCTGGAGTGCCAGAAACATCAGATGAATCCAAATCCGAGGCTGTCTAGTCTTCATGGTGAAGAAAGTGCGATTGTATAGGCAATGCTCCCCCTTTCCCTGGCATGCAAAGTAAAGCTTTGCATGTTTCCGATTTTTTCTCTCTGCAACAAAGCAGCACAAATTTTATGCATGTGTAATAATTCATCCTGGTCTCATTAGATAGATTGTCTTCATCAATCCCAATGGATCTCACCTTCAATGGTGCACCGAACAGGGAGAGGAAGTGTCACAAAGACAGTCTCCATGTATATCTTGATTTTCTCAAGATGTTTTTCGCAGAAATGATATACTGCATCTCGCATGGGATATGGCTCAAACACACTGATTCTCTGTTGCAGCAATCAGAATCAGAAGCACTTTCTGAAATCTTACACATACATATAGCCTGTCACAGTTTTGTTATCCAGAAATTATCCTTACTTGAGCTCCTGTAGAGGTGGGCGTGGAGGGCATCTTTGATGAAATGGTGACACTTGTGCTCCCCTTCCGATAGGTCACTCCTGCCATCTGGCTTGGGGGATTGGAAGACCCGGACTGATGGGTTTTCAGAATAGTCACCTCTCCAGTTGTTGAAGGCCTTGTCATTGGAGGGGAACTAGGTTGAGGCCAAGGGTAGATTGGAGTAACACCTTGATTCCCAGAGACACTTGGCAAGCGATGGTTTGATGCCATGCTCAGTGGTGAAGTTCCACCTTGGATGAGAGAGATCATCACAAACACAATAAAGAGGATGATTAACATCCGTCATGCTTATGCATGGATGGTGATTTACCTGAGAGACAGAGAGAGAGTGAAACAGGATGACCCTGTTGTGACTGAATAGGAGGAGGAGAAACTTGAGCTCCTGGGGACACAGGATTTGGTAGTGATGCTGGAGCCACATCTTCATTTCTAAACACACTCATGTTCATGCTACCACTGTATGGAATAGCAGGAACTTTCAATGTCTCATCTAGAGTTCTTGACTTCTCATAAAACAGGCAAGCAGACAGTATACTACAGATTCCAAACCTCATGCTCTTGTTAGATGATGAAGCTGTCTTAAGTATTCCAATTCCAAGGGATCTTCCTCCTAGAACAGAGAGGCTCTTGTACATGTAACCTCCAGCTCCAGTTCCTGTTGATGGTCCACTTGTCACCAGTTTACTTGTGCTGTGATGCACTGTAAAGGCAGTTAATAGGCATCACACCCCAGATCCTTACACGCATCATCTGCAAAGGTACATGATGTCTACAGTAGGCTATGGATGTGAAGATACACTCACAGACAGAGAGTTTGGGCCTGTCATTTGAGAGACGACTTGTGCTGCGACTTCCATCTCCCAGTTTCCATTTGGAAAGGCCAGAATTGTCTGCATTGCCAGACAACTGCACAATTGTCACTCCTCCAGATGTCTGGTTCACAGTAGTTGATCTGAAAAGTGAATTAGTTTTGGGAAGACAGCTCTCTCAAAACTTGCTCACTTTGTTATGGGACAACAGTTGCCACAAAGCAATAATAAGAAGGTAATCATGAACAAAATAGATACCTATACTAACTGGATAACTACTGACAATAAGGTATGACAACACAATAACTCACCAAAATCCTGACAGCAGCATAAGATAATACAAAATCACATAAACAATGTAAAAGTGATGAGGGGTTCCCATTATTTTTGCCATCTAATGAATTTTTTCCTCATGAGATAAGGCCTTTGAAGAACCACAAATTCAAAGGTAAAAATCATAATAGATAATTATAACCTACCGAATTGTATTAAATTCATTCTGAAGATGCTGAATGCAAGTCCATGCATTTGAGCCAGTTGGGCAAACAGATGCATAACTTCCAACTTCTTTAAGAATCTTCTCTGTCAAAAGAGATGGATGTGCATCACAGATAGATACAAGTTCCTTCAGGGGGATGCTCAGTTTCCCTGCCTCCATCTGAGGCAGTTGGCTCAAGAGATATGGAATAGCCTCTCCAGCTCTGTCCTAAGAACACATATGTTTCAATGCTTCTTTCCTAATACCATAAATATTTAAATAGCAAATAAATAGCATAGGCAATTCAAAATATGAAATACTTTGTTCATCCTCCCAACAGGACCAATGATCTTGATGACAGATGGGAGTGTAGAACGATCTTTGAGGGCCACAGCTTCCAAGCGAGTAACATAATCAACAAATGGTTGTGGACGTGCATTAGCCATGTGGATAAAGATGCCCAGTGTTGGATGAAGGCAGCTAGGGAAACTCAAACACTCCCAGAGCTGACTCAAACTTGGCTCCAGCAACTGAAATTATTGTTCATTGATCATTTCCTTTCTATTCAAAGCAGAGACTAACTAATAAAAAAAAGGCATTGGAACTCACATTTGGTTTCTTTTCAGCAATGAGCTGGAACAATGACAGAAGGGCAAGCTTTTCATGGGTGTCACATAGAGGTAGAAGTGATACAAGAGCCATCACATGATCATGGATCCTTTCCCAATCTACAGCATAAATCTGGGGCAGGACACGTGATAGGGCATAGTTCCCTACAAAGAAAAGACAGTTATCCTTGGGTTGCACAAAAATATTATTTTCATCATAGAACTGTAAAAGGTTAACCTCGATAAAAAATAAAAATAAAAATAACTGGAACTCACCAGATATCACAGAATCTATGATAAGCTGGACACAGTTGGAGAGCAGATCTGCATTCTCCATGGCCGCAAGAGATAGATAAGATGACATATTTCGGCTAAGTTCCTTATTACCCTTATGAAGGAACTTCACAGCAACTGGAAGAGCCAGGCGCATCACTTCCTTCTGACTATAATTCTGCAAAGAGGTGCAACATTGTGATTTGTAAAAATTTCACTACAGAAGAGAATTCTAAGAAATACATGGACAGAGGTTCTCATACAAGAAAGAGGCAGGAGATAATGTCAGAAGCAATCTTGGCATGGGGGGGATCCTCCCCTCGAGCAGTTGGTTTCAAATCATGTCGGAGACAGGATTCCAACAGGGTGACAAGGGCAGCTGCATGTTCCACAACCAGGCCTGTCTCCCTGATAGCTGATGTAATCCTAGTCACAGTGATCTCCACAATGCTCTGATCATTGTCATTTGACACATAGCCTGCCTGACCAATGATTTTATGGATGTTCTCCACAATCACAAGGAGATTTTTCACCACAACATTGTCTTCCACCAAGAACAGATCTCCAGCCTAAAAAAAAAAAAATTAAACCATGCTTTACACTTGTCTCATGATATTGCCCTACAAACTAAAATTATCAATTCTACCTTCCATTGGTACAACCAGACCAGAGTTTTGGATGGGGAGTTTGCTCTACTTGCTGCCCTCCCCACCTTTCCCTTTGGTCATTCACAGAGCATAGCAGTCAGACTTCAAAAACATTTATTTATTTGATAATTGCAAAATTGATTCAGAGATCAATTTGCCTAAGATATAAAATACATTTTAAAGGCTTTAATCAAACATAATATGTTTTATTCTGAAGGAGCTAAAAATTATAAAGCCCTGTTTTTATAAGCTGATGCAGAGGGGGGATTGTGGCTTACACCCACACTCCAAACACTGTTATATAAGTTCCCAATATGGCTTACCTACTTCAGGAATTATCTGTAGGTAACCTTGCATTGTAATCACCAGAAACAGGGGCATTCCATTATAGCAAGCCCTACATTATACAGTCTGTCCAGAACCAGTGGCAAAGAGTTAGACATTCTAGTAGGTGTTCAAGGGAATACAAAGTGAAGAGAAAAATAATGAAATAATGAAAGAGTACAGTAGAAACCAATAGATTCTTGTAATCTTACATCATCATCAAATGAGCCAATTCCATTGGCTTGTACCTCACAGATATGTCAGCTAATGAAAAATTTAAAACCATTCCTCTAAGCATATTCAAATAATCTTACTTGAACAACTTGAATTTTGATGATGCTGGATCATCTTACTTAGTACATCTGGTCCCAGCTGAAAATGAAATTCTTTGGCTTGATCAAGGGAATTCGAATCCTGACAATTAGAAGGTGAGAGATGATGACTAAAACATTTTTAATGTTTGATAATTGTTTAAAAAAATTATGTCTCTGCAAAAGAGTGAATTTCATATTAGGTACAGCTCTGTGCAGATTGAAAGTTTTCTCTGCAGAACTGTCCTTTACTATAGATATAACTAATCACCCACATAGGATGCAGACTTAGTTCTCATTGTCCATTCTTCTGGTCTCTGGAGTTTTCAGATGGATGGCACAGGCACTGACACAAATAGTAAATGTAACAGAATGAATGAGAAATAATGAGTTTTCAGCATATTGATAGATTGATACTAGATCTCAAATTCTGCTAGCTCTCCCCATTGCTTGCTGTTTTTGAAATATGGCTTATGTGCTAAGTCCATTTCAAATGTTTATTTATAATAACTCAATTTAAAAACTCATCTTAATTCAGACATTAGCATGTTTCTCATTCATGCCAGAAAACATGGAGATTTTTTAGCCCTGTCTGTATGGAACACAGCATAAACCTATACACACTTGTTTATTTTATTTTTTAAAATTCTAAGTCACATAACTGTAGTCATTTTTCTCTTGGAAGTCCCTGAGAAAACCAGGATGAACTGGATGGATAGCAAAGAGATGGATTAATCCTCAAGGTGTCATGGCACTTCAAGATTTAAGATTTTGCTAAGACAATCAGCTGAAGCAACAGCTACTAACTAAAGTATTTCCTGTATGTTTTGTTTGATTACCTGCACCAGTACTGTATATGTGAAAATTGTGATGGATATAAATTCATTCATTTCCTTTTTTAAGTCTGCAATATCTGATGTAAAAAGAACCCTGACACCAAACCCCTTGAACTATCAATGGTTATAACACTGTTATGTTCCAACACAAAATGACTTACCTTAGAGAGGTCCTTCTTCTCCAGTACATCAGCAAGCAGTCCTGATAGTGACATGACTGGAGTTTGAGATTGTCTCATACTTTTGTCATAAAAAGAGGAGAATGTGCACTCTCCCTCTTCATGGTAAGACTTAGTTCAGCCCTGATTGGCTCCAGACTAGTTCACAATGCCAAGCGATTCCTTACAGGAAGGCCAATCATCCTTGAGACTCATCTGTTCCTGCATTTGGCACGAAAAAAGCAGACAACTCTCTCAAGTATAGATTTACTTGGTCTAAAAAAATCACCTACCCTGATGTAACCTAAAATGTAAACAGTATCAGTAAAATGCCCATCTGGGTATGGGCCAGCTGGTACTATGCTGATAATGACATAAATCTTCACCGATCCTCATTTTGGGTCCTCATCTTTTTTTATATACGTGAGTGACACCTAAAAGTTGATAATAGAAGATCTTGAATTATATGCACTGACTCAAATGTTTTCTTATATTACATTTATTCAGAGCTTGCATTTTGAGCTGTTGATGTGAAAAAAATCATGTAGAATAGAGCAAATGAACTAAGAATGAGTGTTAAAAATTGTAATAATGTACACAATGGGAAAAATTAAGAGCAAACTAATTGGTAGTATGCATAGATTGAGTCTTCTATGCATACTACCACATATTTCAAATTTTACAAGAGGAAAACATATAGGAAGAAAAACATATAGGGTAATACCTAACAGACATCTATATTCTGACAAACACAAGTACCGGATATGATAAAAAATATCAATTACCAATAGAGTGATGACACTTAATTTCATAGTCACTTCCAAGAGACATCAGCAACATGCTAATTCATCAACATGTGATGACAGACTTATGAGTACAAGGCATTATATCATACTAGCAAATGAAACAATATATAATAAAAAAATTAGGATTATGAGCATCATCTGACTAGAGGTATTACACAAGAGCTTTACCATCATGAAGAATCCTTTAGATAAATTAATTCAGTATCAGATATCTCAAATACACTGCCTAGACAGTCAAGACACAAATGTCAAAAACATCAAATTAATTGGGACCAATTTCCATCACAACAAAATAGTGATAGATTCAAAAACAGGTAAGCGTGAAATAATCAGAATAAATGTAAAACTATCAGATAAAAACTTAACTCATGGAAGATATAGAGTATCACATGAATTGCTGGAGCACATTAATAACAAGAACAACAAATTTTAATATCAAATTATTTCAATTGCCAAGGAATAGAATTTAAATACAGGAACAAGTCTCTGCTTAATAATATTTACTTTGATTTCAATACCAAAACTGATTAATTTTCTCTGCTGCCACATTTCCTCTTTCTTAGGGCCTTTTTCCCGACTGCTTAAGATTGCATTGCAAATAAAAAGCACGCATTCCATCATACACTGAAGTTAAATAATTATCCGACTGAGTCTTGTCAATTAATCCTATGAGTTCTGTTCATTCTACCCATGTAGGATGAAAATAATTATATTTGGAGGCCTCCATAGGACGAGGTATGTAACCGAGGCGTAGGGGTGGAGGCCACAGGCACACGGAAGAGTGAGTCGATGCTCGCGGCCATGCCGCTATGCTAGTGTCGCCGAGTGCAAGCTTACCCTGACAGTACAAAAGCAGTTCATTGGGTGAAGAAAAAATAACATTAAGTCTGCATATAAAGTCAAAATATTGCTGGGGGGTCCTGCTTTGGAAAAATTCAATACTTTTGCAATTACGATCCGATGGAGACTTGGACTATGTCCTGTCTGCAGCTTTGAGATCTTGCAACTGTCTTCCTGAATGCTGCCCTCCCAGGTACTCCACGTGAGGCGAGTGCAGTGATTTTACAGTAATATTGTGCCTTGCCGTGCCGTCGTGGACCGGGAACATAGACCTACGAATATCAGGACTGTGGGACAGAGTGATGACGCTTTCCAATTCCTGAGGAGGAATTATAGATGAACATATCATGTCAAGAAATAAGGATGTGCTACAGCTGTACAAAGCACTTCTACGATATGGTGATCATTTGAAATTCACAGATAAGCAGTTCTTCTTCAGAAGAGTCAGGGAGGAATTTGAGAAGAACAGAGAAGCCACTGCAGCAGATGTAGAGTTTCTCAAGAAAGTGAGGTGACAAGGTCTTGGCCTATAGAAGTGTAGCTCTTTTGAATTGGCTCTACTTCTGTTCATTCCCCACATTATATAGGGGTTTAACATGCCTTACCTTCAAGAGTTGAGATTTAGCCCCTTGGGCCGATTCCATGTACTCAGTACTGTCATATATAAATTGTCATAGCTTTGCCATCTGTTCCCCAATTTTGGTACTCTTTGGGTGGCTGTTCTAGCTGTGATATTGAGGAAAAGTCATAGCATAAATGTATCCTTGTCTTATCCCAGGTAACTCAACATTGAATCAATATGGATTGGAAGGGGACTGAGTGTGCGAATGTTGAGAGTTGAAGGGGAACATTGTTTCAATGTTGAGTGAATGTTGTTACATCACATTGTGGAATCCAATTGGGGAATATTTGCATACATTTCTTGGATATGGCATCATAGGCAACCCCTCTCAAAATTATGACGATTTGGGCCTCTCACATCGGTTTTCGGAGTGCTATTAACTTATCACCATATGGTTTCAATGTTGAAAAATGTTAATCCTCAACTTTGGAGTTGCATGTCAATTGTTACGTTTTGGAACTTGACCATAGGAAAATTGGGAATGGTTCATATCTTTTGTTTTCAAATTCATAAATTATCACTGAGTGGGCTTGCATCCTTTTATAGCTGATGTTGATTCAACATTGTAAGAATGTTTCTGTATCCTGGACTGCTCGTATATGACAAGCAACATTGGATATTTAAAAATGTTTATTGGATAATTACAAAATGTAAAAACATTGATTGAATGTGGATTAAGTGTGCAAATGTTGAGGGTTGAAGGTGAACATTGAATCGATGTTTTGTGATACCAGAATAGTGGGACATCTGTGTTCATAATCAAGCACCAAGAGCCCTCACTAGATGTTACCCATGTTTCCCTGCTGCCTCCTAATGCAATTACATATCTGTCATCCTGCATAAAAGCATTTTCTTCCCCCCCTTCCTCATTTTATTATGTAATTAATGAACATATATATTAGAGAAATGTGGAATTATGATGTTCTGATTGCAGTATCTGATTCTGAAACAGATTAAATATTCAGGTTTAGCATGGGCATTTAGAAGTCTATGTGCTTAAGGACATATAGAGCACTCCTAACATTATACTCAAGTGACCCAAATTTGAACATTGCAAGAGGAAGCTGAGAGAATATTTTCTCATTCTGTAATAATATAGGCACTCAATGTCCCAGTGCTGTTTGCAGAACTGAAGAGGACACATCCTCTTAACCTTTCCAGTACTCCACTTTCTGGGTTTTGACCTATAGGAACTGAAGAGGATTTACCCTGCTCAGTTTGTATAGTTCATTGTCATGTCATATGATTCATTATGTTGAATTTCCCACTATTTAATTCATGGAGGAATTCATCATCATCATTCATCAAGGAATGTTGATGCAATGTGGGAATGATATTGAATGAGTGTTACCATCAATATTGTTTCAGCATTCAAAATGGGGATGTGAAGCATTGTTTCAATGTTGTTTCCACATGGATGTGTTACCTGGTATGCCTGGGTATTAAAATTTAAAAAAAGTTTTGTTCCCTTGTATCCCAATGAACTAACCAGTTTTAATACCAGTTCAAATTCATGTTTCTACAATACATATATATTGTAATTGCCAGTGCAACAAATACATTCTTATTCTTTTTCAGAAGGCAAAGGAAGCATTAATCAGGTGTCCCACTTTCGCAACACAGAAATCTGGTCACCTTAAGCATGTAGGACTCAAAAAATATGGCCTGACACCAATGGATTCCATAACAAAAAGCAATAATGAATTGATTGTACAAAGAAATTCTTCATACATTGACAATAAGACAGTATATAACTTACCACATGGACAAGGCAAGACATAACATTCAAGTGCAACTATTCTACTGCACCACTGGGTCCACAACATACTAAACAAGACATAAACTTATTTTCTCTTGCAAGGTCTGAAAATGAAGTTGAGCAAGGTATCAAAGGTCAGCCAATGAGAGATTATTTCTTGTGTGCATCTTTCAGTATAATTCAAGTATTTTTTAAGAATAGGAGGTATTTTAGTAGTTTTTAAAGAATGAAAGTTTTCTTCAGTAATAGATTTTCTTATTCTTGCCACAGAAGGGGACAAAATTCCTGGAATTAAAGCGTCTGATATGAAGGCAGTGATGAGGAGGCTTACTATTGCTGGAGTGCAATCTTTCTGGAAGTGTCAACAGTCATGTCTACGAAGCTTCTCCCAAGTACAGCAGCTTCCACCTCTGAAGGAAGAGGAAATTGAAGAGAAGTTTGTGAAAGGGAATGGGCCAGGTGGACAAAGTGTCAACAAGACTGTAAATTGTGTTCACCTCAAACATACACCAACAGGTGAGCTGAGTTACCCATTATTACAAGGTGATTCATATTTCAAGGTGATCACCTTTTTTTTTTAATATATAGAGGCTCTATCTTCATGCCCATCGGAGCAGACTATTCAAATATATATATTTTTGGAAAGCCCTGGATGAGATCTTTCAATTGAGCCCAATTTTTGCATGTTGATGAAGTTAGGTACATTTGTCTGAAGTCCAGACTCTTTTTAAAATGTATTTAAAGCAAGTTTTCAATCTTTGCATACAAGTCCCAAAATAATGCTGAAGTAATGAAATATAGCACTCACATCATAAGTAAATGTCATCCACACAATGGCTCAACTCTCAACAGCTTTGAGAAAGATCTCAAAGTCATGTATTGTTGTATAGAGTATTTTGGCTTGTTTTGACAACATTTCCTGGCAAGAAATAAAAGCTTTCCTACATGGCAAGAGAGTGTGCAGAAGTGTTCAATTTGAAGATATGTGATCAAACAGTTGGCCTTTGGGTCCACTTAAGTATGTGTTCAGCTTTTGTTGACTTGAGAGCTCAAGGGTAGTCTGTGAGCTGGATGAAGAATTGGTCAAGCATTATAATAAGGTATTTGAAAACCTCTTTTGAGGCCCTTTTTAAGATAGGGTTCAAGCTTCAGAGAATAGAATATATATCTTTGTCCAGATGAAATATTTTAAAATAAAAATAGACTCAATCAAAATATCTGATCCAGGGCTTTCCAAATATATATATATTTGCAGTGTTTGCTTCACTAGGTGCAAAGATACAGCCTATAGGGAAAAAAAAAGACTTACTATGGACCACCCTGAACCTCATTCACACACTTGAAGGTATTCCCCTAATAATTTTTGGCCTCATAAAATTATGGATTAAGTTTGCCCATGTCCTATGGCTTTGAACATTGTTTTAGGAAATGGACAAGTATTCCATGAAAATGATGTTGAATTGGCATTACTTCAAAGCAGGCTGGATCATTGTGTTTTACTTTCAACTTCATTTCTTGGTCCTGTAAAAAAAAAAAATTGAGAAACATTGTCATGCTAGGTATTGTGGTGAAGTGTCATCAGAGTCGTCTGCTCCACGAGAACCGGAAGCTTGCTAGACAGCTCCTCAGAGAGAAGTTGGATGACTTCTACAATGGTGAAATGAGTGGAAGAAATCAAAGGAAAAAGCTACTGCTTGAGAAGTTCCAGCGAAGAGAAGACAAAGCTTCAAAGCTTCGAGATATGAAGGAACAGTGGAAAAATCATGAAAATGGATCCACAATGCAGTGTTGAATTAGTAAATTTATGCAGACAATATTTACAGTGCTACAAAGTCTGAATATACGTTCACTTTTGGTGCAGAAGTTGAAGATGAGTACAAGATGTAGCCAAATAGTTCAGATAGCAGATAGGTGTCAACTGAATGCAGTTGTACAGCAAGTGAAAGGTTGTCGTGGCAATTCTGGAAATTGCTCTTGTTTACAAAAGGAACCTTGTAATATACCACAAAAAGTAAAAGAAAAAAACTATGGAGGCCAGGAAGGGAAAACTTGCTCATCTGCACACATTTTGAGCCTCAAGTCTTTGTACCTCTTCCATGGCTCTTATCCCAATTGTTCCCTGTGCCCTGTCTTATTTCCAGGATTCTATTAAATTTTTCCTGACAGGTTTCCACCTGGTTTTTTTTTTTTGGGGGGGGGAGGGGGATGTTATATTTCTTAGGTCGTAAATTGATCATTCCCTGAAATTTCATGAACATTTGTTAACCGTAACATTCAAATATAATCACAAAGGAGGAAAGAGTTCTACTGATGGGAAATGCGTCCTTATCAGGAGACACCATTATGGCTTGAGGGCGTTAAGGGGACTTTATAGCCAGGAAGTGTCCAGATAACGTTGAAATGACTGATAGAATCGTCCAGTTATTCACACCAGTCCAAGAAACGCATAATTTACTTGTAGAAAGCTATTGCACGACAGTATACAAAATAAATATAAATTCTACTATATCAACATGCAACCAATACACCGCACACATGGTGGCACTAGCATTTCGCGAAAAAAAATCCCTTACCCTGAGTTATGAATGCTCTACCGCGATTGAACCTCCGCAGGTGAGTGAAAAGACTGACAAAGTTGGAAACTGTTTCACGGTTTTGCCATCATAAAAACGGGGGAAAAATGAAAAATGGTATTCGAAGGTTTAAATTACCCATATGATGACGATGAGGTCTACGATCAGCTCATCAGACACTGTCAGTCATTGGTCGACATAACAGCCCTATGTTTGAAACCGCGAAATTTTTACGAAGAAAACTCAGAAGAGAGTTTTTGTTGAGGCATTTTAGCTACAAAAGAACGACGAGTGTACAAAGCACGTGGGTTCCTGACAGGAGGAGCGCCTTTTTAAAACAAATTAAATGGTCTCTTCGTGCTGGAAATTCTCAAAAAACTTATTCACGGTTGTTGTCAATATGTGACAATACTTTTACTAAGAAAATTTTTTTAAACATAAATGGTTCATTTTCATCAAGCCATAACTGCCAGTTGGACGATCAATCATCGGTTTAATGAGACGGATAAGGCTGCTCCTGGACGCACAAACAATCAAACTAGGATTGATTGTGGAAGTAATGACGCAAAGCTCACTTTCAGCATCCAGACGACAACGATATTTCGTATTCATTGTAGCTGCAGGAAAATCAGTTTCGTACTACTGTAGTAAGATGAGGCAGTTGAGAGAAGGATTTCTATCGCCCTGATAGGGAACTGCAGGTTCTCTTCGAAGCTAAGCCAAATGTTCAGTGGGGATTTTAATGTAAAGGACTGTCTGAGATGATGAGAGCAATATTTTTTATTGTATTGGGACATTTTGCGCCACCTGAGGGGCCAATCTCTTGAATCTCTCGCTTGGCTTTTCAAATATTTATTCATAGAAAACCGGTGTACCAATTCCGCATTCTTAACATACGCATTCAAGACACCGTCCCTTGGGACGCACAATCCAAAGCCGGGGTGTAGGACTAATAAAGGTTAAAAGGGGGAAGTACACCTACTCGGACCGACGAAATGCGAAAGCAAATTGTGGAAAGCCAATGACACGATCTGAGCGTTGTTCATACCGGCGCACAGTGGTCCAGAGTGAGTGGAAACCTGGCCGAAAATGCCTGACTCCCTTTTGTCGACCTAGGGGGTGGATTCAGTAAGATCAGCAAAATATTTGTCTTATACTGATACGATTTTGCCTACATCCGACGTTTCAAAACATCACCCTCTTCCTTTTTCCGAATTTTCGAGGTAATCGCCGTATCTTCGAAATTATTCATTTCAGCCCATTGGTGTTTAGTACCGTTGAAAAAGTCTCGTTCAAAACGATTAAATGGTGTCATGATGGCCTTCATTTAAAGCCTGTGCGATGTTTCGAGGGGATTCTCTCAAGAGTTCGCTCCATATTGTCTAGTCTGGGTGAGTATTGGTAATATATTCACACGTTGCCGAGGCACATTTCCAGGACGTCGGTCTTCAGTAGTGCATACTCGCAATCGGGAGAATATGCCCCTCCGAGTTAGATTTTCTGGACTTAGGGATAGAGTTAAAAAAAAAAGGTCATTCTGAGTATACTCGCGGATTCTCGCAGATAATTGGGGGCCACATGTCTACACATAGTGCGGGAGTATGCTTATGCCTTTTTAGTTACGGCCATCCACGGCCGTCTTTAAGAAAATCGAGGCTGAAAACTAAGTAGGCTAAATTTACGGTCCATCATGGAGATTTCTGTTCCTCGACGTTAACATAATGGTTTGGAGGGACCAACACTCACTTGCCTGACCTTCAGCCATTGTTGTTCAATGTGAGATCAAAGCACATTCACGACAATCGATAATCAGTGCAATAATCAATAAAACATTCTCAGTTCACCGAGTGCTGGTGAATCTCCCCTATTTTTTTTGCTTTGGAACGGTCCTATTCCTAAGAGTTGCGGGACGCAATGTTGCTTTGTCGGCGTTGCCATGCACTTTTGGACATCTCAGGACGAGACAGGTTGAATTAAAGAAATTTTTGAAAAAATAACTATATTTTCGGCCAGGTCTTCATTCGCTCTGGCCCACTGTGCGCCGTTGTCGTGATTCAGGTTATGGGAGAGCGCCGATAGAGGCGAAGACCCATTGGAAAAGTGAAAAGTGAAAAATAAGTACAGGATGTCCCGGTCTTGGGGATTGCTTTTAATTGCTATTTCACTCCTGCAGAAAGAGCCAGAACTACGAGTAGGCCTACATCGTCATGTATTCCAAGAGCAAATGCGGCAGGAGTCGCCTCCCCTCTCGTTATCCTGCTACTCAGCTGAGAAGGAATCTGTACATTTTTCGTAAAAAGATAAATAAATAATGCACATAAGGCATAATTTTTTAGAAATGCATATTAGTTTCATTCAAAAATGTGTTTGCTTCAACGTCCAAGCCCAGTCGCACCCTTCCCTCTAAGGGTCGCACCCCCCAGTTGGAGAACTGCTGCCTCAAGGGAGCATGAGCAAGACCAAGGACTCACGTAGAGCACGGAAGAAAAGCTTCAGCCAGCCTCTGAATAGGGTCCATCGATGATCATTCAACTCCTTTCAGGATATGAAACGTGAGATAGGAGTTGAATGACCATTAGACTCCGATCTCACGGTTCTCCAATTGCTACTTAGGCAGCCGGCTACAAGTTCTGCAATCGTACGGCATCCCGTGCTACGTGCATGGCATGCTCAATACGGGTATAGGAATAAATTTTCCGGTCGGAATTACCCAAATCACGTGATGTCCTCTCTTTTCTTCGCACGACTCTGTTATGCCATTGTAACAATTTGCTTCGTAACAAGTCAGGACCGAAAGGCATTCGATTTGCAGGATCAGGATCAGGACAGGCACGGGGGGACGAGACCGCGAACAAAAAGGGTCGGGGCGTAGGATCCTTTCCCATGATCATGGAAAATGAGATTGCGAGTTCCGGGCAATCCAAGCACGTCACAACGTTAGTCATACTGGAGCTTGTCTAGTTCCATTTCCGTAGCAGGCGAGACATAAATGAAATACCATGGAAAGAGACGAGGCCATATCGTCTTTTTTTCAAGATGTTCGGTGCGTAGCAGCGGGAATCTAATCGTAACTCAGTGGGGCGGGGGGGGGGGGGGGGGGAGAAAGAAGAACAGGGAAGATTATTTCCGCCAGACATCATAGAACCATTAGTGCAAAGGGACACCTGTAGCATTACGTGTCAGAGCTGCCAAATGATCCTCCAGTGCTTCAACCATCGCACTCCTGCTACATTTCTAGCACGCCATTAGGAACCTATTGCCAGACTTAGGTCAATTACTGTGGCATTGCAATTGATAAACATTACGATTAAGCTCCACAGATGAATTTTGATGTCAATTGTGATTAACGATCCGAACTAAAAAATGTTTCAGTCAAGATTACGACGAATGGACGACTAACTGTAATTAATAACAATCCGATTACGTAATCAGATTGATTTCGACCCATGCCTTATCGGTACAGGAGACTTAACGTTTGGAGTGGTGCACCGTTGAATTGAGCCAAGAGCTACTCTTGCACCCAGAGATGCTTGTCTATCTTTTTTCGCAGTGGCATTATGGCAATCAACCTGAGAAGAATGCCTGCTGTAATAATTCAGAACCAGTCCGAAATGGTATTGTTACGGCGGGGAACTTCGGGAGTCGGACGGCATGAGAGGACGAAAGAACCCAAGGAACGGCCGGGAATCGAACCCGGGCCTCCTGATTGCCGGTCAGGCGTGCTACCACTACACCACCGAACCCTGCACATTCAGTCGACCCTCTCAATGCCATCCTTATCCGTCACAATATTGTTGGAAGGTTGAAGAAAAGCTTGGTTATACTGTAGTTTCGGCTGTCCAATCCGGACGCAATCTGATTCTCGAAACGTGCTTAATCATATCTAACCTTTATTTAAATAAGAAAAACCTGGAAAGACTGCCGCTCCACAGATGAAATCAACTTTTGTTCTTTTTCTCTCCCTGCCCTAGTTTCCTGGAAACGTTGCCATATTTCCTGGAAACGTTGCCTTCATCGGATGTAACCGTTGAACCATACATCTTGCCTATATTGCCTGGTTGCTCCACTTTGAAGCTGAGGCCTTCAGAGCAGAGTGTCTATTCATCATGGATGAGATCATTGGTCGATGTCGAGTCACTCCCTCCCTCCCATGCCGATGAACAAAGGGCATAAAAAAAGAGCATATCGCCTGCGCATGAAGAATGGCGGAAGTGCCTCT